TCGTATTGTTTGTATACATAATTCCATGTATCTATATACTACTCTATAATGTACTCGTTTCCTGACGAAACATCCACTGTATACATACTGGGCTTTGTGAATAAAACTATCTATCTATCCACTTAGCACTAACTATTCAGTCTTGTCTTGTTGATCACTCGGGTTACTAAACATCGATATGGCTGACGTGCTATTAATGTGTGCTATGGCTGTTGCTACTATAGTAAAAAAGAGAAAACGTTCCAAGTGGTGGAAAGAATGGATACTTAAGCGACAACAATTATCACACGTTAATTTATTAGATGAGCTTCGATTAGAACCTGAGGATTTGTTCGATTATTCACGTATGAGCAAATCGAAAGGATGTATACAGTTATGAGAAAAGCAATAACAGCATATGAGAAGCTCAGTGCAACAGGAAGAAGCTATGCTGACTTAAAATTTTCATGTGCGATATCTCGTCGAGCACTTGGTGAAATTATACCCGATACATGTTGAGCTATTTACAAAGCATCAAAGAATCAATATTCGAATCTAAAGTATTTTATTTAAACAGTACTTAAAATGTTCCCAAATCGATTGTGAGAGTTCATTGTTTGCTTGCCCTATCGATCCTGCTTTAACTTCTGTGGAAGAATTAAGCCCTTATAGATTATACGAAAAAGTATAAGTTCCATGAATTATTGGAGTCAATCCCCCAGAGGCAGCTTGTGGTTTCGATCTGTTAACTTCAACAACCTGATTCAAGTGTGTATTTCAGAAGTTCTTAGTGTGCTATCTCAAATTTTTGAATTATTGCTTCATTAATAATTTTTTTTGCAATATGTGGATATCAGAGGTCAGTTCCTGAAGACCTTCAGCTATATGCTGGCCGAAAGCTGTGTATTTGAAGTTTACTTGCAACAATATTTAAAACTCTTCGGACTTTTTCTTTTCACACTCATTCCGGAAATTGATGATGACGTGGATGCGGTGGATGATAGAGTATGTGGTGCTGTTTGTGATGGTGTATTTGAATTTTCTTCATGTTCGGTAAAGTTGCTATCACCCAAAAAAATAATAATTTAGATTAAAAACTTATTTTACACTTAAAGGTTTTACATAATGTTCTACATTTTTGTTAATAGAAACACATAAGAATATCGCCACCGTAGAATTCTGCTTGTTTCTACTGGAACTATAAGGGATATAATTGCCTAGTTTTAATGGCAATTGCTGATGCGAATTAAGAACTAATTGAGATTGAGGTGTTATTCACTAAGTTTTATGAAAAACTCCTTAACGAAGAACTGCAATTACCTCCTCCTTACCTGTTCTACGCAGCTTCCTTGGGTTTTCATTGGATATGAAGCATTTTCACTGCGTAAGAATTGACTAAATCCGTTTGGCTTGCGAGATTTGTCAAGAGAAAGAAAAATTTTCAACTCTCGTCTGTCTAGGTCACACAGTGTCATCGAGAACGTTTTTAGTATAATGACAGCTAGATTTAGAATCCTTCAGACAGAGAGCATTTTAAAATTAGACAGTACAGATTTAGTGCTCTTTTACACAACTAATCGAGAAGAAAATGTTCTGATTTGTATATATCCTTCAGAGTCCCTAGACGAAGAAGATTGGACACAGTCAGAAGTTCATTACATAATCGAAATACTACACAAGAAGCTAATGAAATTAGAAAGTTTTATGTGAGACATTTTAATGGCGAAGGTTAAGTAAACTGACAAAATAATATGATTAATTAGATCACCTCTTAGGTTAAAATAACACTAATGAAGCATTATAAAGTTGTTTACTTACCAGAGACTTCGCTTGTACAATCATCTGTACCCATACCCGATTGAGAACTTCTATTTTTTTTAACTCTCTCCGGAAACAAGTACGCAATAAGTTGATTATTTTTATTACTTATTTTTCTTTTGCTTGTCCTAGTATTCTTTAGAGTTCACCTTCCAAAGACATGGATTTTCTCTATATAAATTAATGAAGTCTGTGAGGAAGTCCCTCGACATGAGCCGTAGGTCCGACATATTTTAATTCATTAATTAACTCACTGAATTCCTATAGTATTATATTATAATATTAAATAAAATGCACCCTTCACAAATATACTCTCCAGCAGGACGACACATCACAACTTATCGCTAGACAAGTCTGTAGAAGCAGGTTTGATTTCATTCAAGCCAAACAATTGTCTGACGACTTATCAGTCTTAACGTTGCGATAAATCGTACAATTTAAGTTTGTTAATTTAAGTAATTAATAAACGAAAAAACAGAAAATAAGGTGTGACATTTAATGAAGCTGGTTCATTTTTATTAACAGGGTAGCAAAGGAGTCCGTGTTTCACAAAAATCGAGAATAATAAAATTATGTTAAGACCACATATTTCAAGTTTCACAGAAAGAAGTTGGAAGTTTCAAGCTAATAAAAAGGTCCAATGAGATATGAGTCAATGCTACAAGTATTTGATAAATGCAGGTTTTGCTTTATGCCATTTTTGCAGGGTGACAGATGATCCTACCGAAATTTTCAACGAATCTGAAAAGCTGGGCAACCAATTAAAAAATGCAGGAGAAGATGTAGATCAAGAAGACAACTTACCGCTTGTTACTTTCGAAAAATCGATGAAATCGAATTTTTCGGGATCGCCGTTGGTACAGAAATGATCACCGTCGAAAAAAAAAATTTTTTATCTGTCCGTTCTTCGCTTTCGTTTTTTGGTTAGTTTATACGTGTGAGATCCGGCGCTATAACTTTTGTTTCACGCATTTTTTCGATTATATACAAGGTGTTTTAGTTATGGACAAAAATCTAAAAGACACTGAAAATTGTTCTTTTTGGGGGTGAATTATTAATCGTAAATCAAAATTCGTAGAAAAATAGCTAATCCCTTGAAAACAGTATTATAGGCCGTATCAGGGGCTACAATTTTTGTATTTACGATTTTCGTCTGTCACGTACGCTGCTCGAGATATTTGAAAAAATCCATTTGAAAATCGCACTCAATCTAGACGCGATGACGTCATTCACTATTACGTTGTACCGCATGGTTTCAGAAAAGAGGTATTTTCTAGAAAACTATTTATCCTATTCAAAAACTTCATATACCGAGAAACGTGGCAGATCTAGGGCCATCTTCTTTAACTTGCGGCATTTTTTGGATTATGTACAGGGTGTGTCCATTATTATTTGTAAAAAAAAAACAAAGAAATCCTGTAAATTGCCGTTTTCGTGGGTAAGTAATTAGCCGTAAATGAAAAACTATAAAACATGGCATAATTTGGTTTAAACACTGTAGAGGGAGAGTTTCAAGTTCAGATATTTGAAACAATATAATTGGCAATTGTTATTACTTGCAAAAAAAATTGAATTTAGCAAAGTTTTCGTAACTTTGAAGTTCGCCGAGATGTACAATGCCCATTGTGAACTTTTGACAATTTCATTTTTCTTTTAGAAGACACCGATCAGATAAAAAAATACTGTTTGAAAGACAGTTTAACATGCTTTAATACGAGTTTAAATTGATTAAAATTAATTTTTGCTTTTTACGATTATCATAGTAAAATAACTGCACGAGTCAAATTAACTTTTTTTAATTACTAAAAACAAATAGTAGTGGGTATGATCTCTCTCTTCCTCTACTGCTACAATAACCTCTGGGATCGAGGGTGGGGTACGAAGTCGAATTCTCCGTTTTAGCTCGTTCCATCAACTTTCCATTGGATTGAGGTCGGGACTGCATGCTGGCCACTCCATAACTCGAAAACCTACTTCTGCAATGTAATCTCGCACGATCCTTGAGGTGTGCGGCCTAGCATTGTCATACATAAAACGAATTATTCTTCAATGTAGTCGACATATGGTACCCTATGGATGAAAACAGGGTCGGTTCTTGCGTCCATAGAAATTGCACCCCAATCTGCTGGTCTTCGGTACACTTTTTTCGTCGGTCATTACCAAAAATTCATATTCTGGTCTAATCTGAGAACAGAACTGATCAATGTAGCATAGGCTTGCTTGTCGATGAACTGGAGTAAGTTTTGGACCAATTGCAGTTGTTTTTGGGGTCGAATTATTTTGCTTCAGTCTTCTTCTCAGTGACCACTGACTAATAACCATAGCTTCCAATGGTGCCGATTTCTATGCACGCACGTTTAGTTGATGTAGAAGATGCTTTACCCGAAATGGAAAAATCCGTTGAGAATGTGAAATCTGTAAACGAGGGAAACTAATACTGGAAGTATAACGTCACGCGGCCGATTCCAGAGAGGGATCTCAAGAACAGGAAAGAATAATAAATGCAACCAGATCGGACACAGTAAAAAGTATGGCAAAAATAATTATTCATGAGGTAGAAATAATGATCAACGAAGGGTAGAAGACGTAGCTGGTACGTCAACAATGGAACAAGCAGACAACAGGTTTACATTCTATGTAGACGTTAAGATGACAAACACACGCGAGGGTGGGGTGAAAAGTTTCCAGCCTGACCAAAATGTGGCGCCACCAGCTCTACTTTTGGAGCGGAGTCCTACGCTACCATTCCTACCGAGCTTGTATGTACACAGTATCAATAGTCTTCGTTAAGAAAGGTTTTCCACGCAATTACATTAAAGAAGATATAGATTCAACTCTAAGAGATTCCTCCATATCGTATTCAACTATTAATCACTTGTATCCATCATTACACTCCTGAAAAGAAGGATCAGTCAAAACGGTTGGTTACAAAACGGGAATCCATGTGGTTGTAGACCTAGGACCTTCTCGCTAACATTTTTCTTTTAGAAAGGTGTTAGTGGACGTTATTATAATCGAGAGTGGGCCTTTTTGTCAAAATTTGATTTGTGGTGTAATTTATCAAACTCCATCGCCTTTTTTTACAAAGAAATATATTATTATTATTATATTATTAAAGTTTGGATTTGTTCATTGTGGCTGAGGTTTTTGTCTTCCCAGAGTGATTAATACTCAGGCTGGTGTTTTTTGGTTTCCGTTCGCAGACACGTTCGCGAGCAAAGTCGCCGCCATCCATGACAAACACGCAGACGCGAGCGTGGGGAACGTCACGGGCAGCAACGCTGTCAACGTATTCCTGGGAATCGGCGTAGCGTGGTCCATAGCGGCCATATATCACGGCATCCAGGGACGTCCATTCAACGTTGATCCCGGAAAGTACGTTACCGGAAACTGTGATTTTTTTTTCATGCTGCCATCTATAGATGAGCGGCAAAACTATGGTTATCGAGTTAGAAACCTGTATTTGAAACTTGTCATATCTTGGCTACTATCCGACTAATTATTTTTAATTTTTATATTCTTCAAGATAATTAAAATTAAAAATGTTGTTTTAATATTAATGATTTTCTTTATTTTTTTAAATATTTTAATTTTTTTTTTGTTTATGCTATTATTTAATTATGGTTTCGAAGCGCCGAAAAGATTACCAAGCAGAAGAAACGGGTTTTGCCGTATTTATTTATTTATTTAATATGTGTTACTTTATCAGTAAATGACATATTGCTACCGCAATTTTTGTGTTCTTCTTCCTTTTTCTTTTTTATTTTTTAAAAATTAGTTTTCTTTATGCTTGTCCTTTGAATTAATTTTATTCCATTTTGTTTTCATCCCTACGAAACAAAAGGCTACCAAATAGAAAAAATGGGTTTTACTTTTTCTGAGAAATAGGGCTGAATTTCTGAAAATGTGAAATTTTCCATCCTAAATCAGATTTTTCTCTTAAGTAAAAGCCAATTGTAACACGAATATAGAGGGTGTTTGAACTGATTTTTGTAGTATGTAGTTTCATGTTGGCTGAACAAGCCAACACTAATTATCTAGTGTTTCAAATCCTGGAATTCCGTACATTTTCCATTCAGAAATCCCAAAAAATCCCCAAATTCTTAAATAATTTCCGTTGGAACATCAAAAATGCGACTTGTTAAAAATATCTTAGAAATTTTGCCAAGAACAATTACAGAAAACGTTGACAAAGACTCTGAAGATGATTTGCCCCTCTAACTGAAACAGCTGAAAATATAAGTCTCAAAACATTTTAGGAATGGCCCTATGGTGGATTGGTTACAATTCGACCCACCAGTGTAGATTAAGAACGATTTTTTTCTTTTGTTACAAAAATAACACCTCGGATACACAAGTGATGCTCAAATTTCGATTTTTTTAGTTTCTTTGTTTAATATAACATTTTTAAGGTGCGTATTATACAATGTTAAGTTATGTATTGTATTGACTATTATGTAAAACACATTACAGTTTTCTGAGTATAAGTTATTTTACTATAATAGTTATTAAATATTAATCATTATCATAAGGAAAACTGAGATAGGTTGGATGATTTTTGATAAAAAACGTAAATTATAAAAAGTTATGTTATGTATTGTATTGAAATTTGTATAAGAAATTTTACTAAACACTGCAAAATATTTAATAAATTTTTCGGGATTTCGAAATTAATCCAAATCCACATAAAAAAAAGTGAGATAGGTTGGATACTGAAGATATCAAGAAAAAAAGTAGACAAGCTTTCCTTCCCAAATGGTTCTATCGTCCACAGTGCTCTACAACATTTCAACTAAACAACCAAAAATAACTGTTCTTTCCCATAGCCAACTGAACCTAACTTTTACCTAAATTTCGGCTTGTTTTTTAGAAATTTTGCCTTTTCCTTTAGAAAAATTAATTTTTGGATATTATTATTTGCATAGCAAAGAGTTTTCTGTAGACCGATCGTCCTCCATTTTGCAGTTTGGCGTTTTCCGTGACGATTTTCTGCACGGAAGCGGCGGTCGCCATCCTGATCCTAGTCCTAAGAAGGTCGAAGGTGGTTGGCGGCGAACTAGGAGGGCCCACCTGCCTAAAATACGCGACTTCCGCCCTACTATTTTCCCTGTGGATCCTGTATCTGTTGTTGTCGACGTTGGAAGCTTACGGAATAATCAAAGGGTTTTAATTACCGTTTACATTTTGAGAAAAGTTTTATATAGGCTTATAGTAAGTAGCGGAGCAACGAAGCTGCGTTTATTATTTACGCTTTAGGGAAAATACTGATGTAAATACGCAGTTACACGTAAACTTTTAATGGGTTGTAAATATTATAGGTCGCTGATTTTTTTTTTATATTTCGGTACGTTTTTGTAATGAAATATTTGGAATAATACTTATCAGACAGGCAAATAGGTAAAGTGAGGAAAATACATGCCTAATATGGAGTACGGACCTCTTTGGAAACCACTGGGGCTATATGTTATATATATGACGACTCACCAGTAATTTATTCATTTCAGTAGTATGTCATTGGAATCGGACTTTAGGTCAATTCTGTCTTCGTTAGTTAAAACGTCCTTTATACCGAATTATTAAAACATAAATAATCTCATTTTTATAAAAATTTGTTGTGCAGTAGTTGTTTTGCATGATAAACAATTTTTTTCCATAATATAAGTATGTAGATTTATAGCAAGTGAATTAAAACGAAAAAACAGTTTCTTATACCAGCAAATCATGGGCATTTTTTAAGACCATAGCCAACTACAATTGTTATATGAAAGAAGAAATTTGTATTCATTTATGAAAAATCTGAGTACGTCATTGCATTTGCCTCAAAAAATGCCCTGAAACTTATGAGCAATTTTCCAAAAAGGCCCGAAAATTGAAAAACGCCTTATATCTCGGATGTACGGATTTTGTTCTATCTATTTCAGAACTATAACCATCAACCACATTTATTATTTACGTATCCCCGTGTACGAGCCTAACATTTGTTCGTAATCAATGAATCTTCTTGTTTTATCAGTCCGTACCGTTTAGAAACATACTTTAGTTGGGATTATACCTCTAGTAAACATGTTCTGCTGTTACAGTGAAAACTTTATGGTATTACTTTTGTGTTCGATTTTCAATTTTATATGCTTGCACTTTGGGATGAACAAAAAGTATTTTATGCTAACACAATAATATCCTAGGTAATTTGAATACGATTTATCATCATAACAACTCGTAATATGCACTCGCATGTTGGCAAAGTCTGAATTAAGATTTTTATTATTCATTATCATATTTGGTCATTAAGTTATTTTTCAAAGGAAACTTCCACTTGCAATCTATTCTGTACCAGCTTATACATTGTTTGAGAGGAGCGCAGCAAAGGGGCGAACAACCTGAGTCGCCAAACAATCAGTCATCCGAGTCAATATTCACCCATTTCCTTTAGCTCCGCTTCCCTCAAACAGTATACAAGCACATACAGAGCAGAATGAGAGCCTGATAATTTGTAAATAGTCTTATTTGTTATTGTTATAATTTTATTCCGCATTCATGAACTTGGTTCTTTTGCAGCCCAGACATTATGTTGACTTTTACAACGTCGACGGTTCTTCTTCTTTAAACGTCATACAGAGTGTTTCTCAAGAGTATGGGGCAAGTGTAGAAGGTGATTTAACAGTGTTTGTGCAATATATTGGGAGTCAAATTAAAAATAAATAGGTTAAAACAATTAATTGCAGTGACACCCCGCAAAAACCCCATAATCAATGTTTATGATTTTTTAGCACTTCGAGATTTATAAACTTAAGATGTACGAGCAAGAAAAAAAAAAGAAAAGAAAAGAAGCTTATTTAGCAACTTGAATTCAAATAAAAATACGCCATTTAAATGAGCATAATTTTATATTGAATTTTTGATAGTTAAATTAGTTAGATACATATTCATAAATATTCATATAGTTGCCTTAAATGTATCAATATGTCAATTCCATCCAACAAGTTATACCTTTATTTCAGTTACAGTTCTATATTCATAAAGTAAATTTTTTTTATAATCTATTTTGACCATTCTACCATTTGAAAACTTATTTTTTGGGAGATAGAAAAATACATGCAAACAATATAAATATTTTTCGGCTCATCTTTTTAATGAAACGCTGATTTTTGATCATTTCCAACAAATGCTTTTAAAATTGGACTTTGCAGAGGTAGATTAACAATTATGAAAAAAATAAATTTCTACCATTGTTAAAGACCAGTGATAACACATTTGATTAAGAAGATATGCCGAAGCAGATATTTATATTATTCGCATTAATTTGTTCAACTCAAGCAAATAAAATACAGAACTACACTTAATGTAAACAAAATTACGGCACACATTCTTTCCTAGCCTTAAACACATTAAAAGTTTAAACAAAAGCAACTAGTTCAAGACTGTGTCGTGATATTTTTTGGTCTGTATCTAGTTTTGTAAAAATATACCACGTATTTGATTATGGTGCTGTATCCAAGAATCCATATACATTACATACAAATATTTTTTATTATTGTTGGTCAGCCCCCAGGGTTACAGCCTGCAGAAGAACTTGAAACCATTAGGCGCAAATTTCTCAAAATTCGGATTTCAGATATATTTGGAAAAAATCTCTACCCTCTGCAACATACTTAAAAGATGTAGGTAGTAAATGTAGTAATAATAGTGTTCTCAATACATACTTTTCAATCTTTTTATAACGGTCTTTGGAGTCCCCAACTTTTCAATCTGTCTCCTGTATTTACTGTTGCGCAACTCTTACACCTTACAGCTGGAAAAACTGAACTGCACTGGGAGTACATATGACCAAACCAAACAGTACTTTCCCATTATATTCTCTAATGGAAAGTATACAGTCGAAACTCTATATAGCGAAATTGAAACGACTATTTTTTTTCCTTACAAAGAGTTATAGGCAAAATAACAATACGCATATGTGTTCTGTAATATTTAATTATTTTATATACATATTTTAAAATGTACTTACAAATAATCGGTCATTTTCTTTTGAATTTTTTTAGTATGCCAATACGCATCTCGTAGTTTGGCCTGTATCATTTATTCGGGAGGGGCATCTTCCCCATGATACATAAAAAATTATCTAGCAGCTTAACTGAATAAAGGGCGTGTTGGATGGTGGTCCCAGATCAATTTCTTAATCTTCTTCTTCCTCTTGGTGCTCTTCCTCATCCTTCCTTGCTTCTTATAATATGGCTTCCTCTGTCAAGTCTGCTGTTGTAGCCAAATCCTGGTCTATCACCATCTTGAAACTGCTTTATCCACTCGCATAGTGGCTGATCATCTTCCAAGTCCTGTTCGCATTCTGTCTAGGTAATAAGTCCTGCATGACGATAGGAATGTTGAATTGTTTCTGTTGCTACCTCTTTCCAAGCTTTACTAATAAACTTGACTGGATCCAGCATATTAATTGAAAATTTATCTTCGGGCTCCATCATTTCCATTAAAATGTGTTTCCTGTATCGACTCTTATCGGCTGCAATTCGGTAGATTTGGAATATTGGGATGTGCAGGGCAGTTATTCAGCAAATGCTTGATGTTCTTAAAACATCGTGGGTTAGTTGATTTTCCAATCACGACTAGCTTTCTTTTTTCTCTCCCACTCATATTGGCAGCTACTAACACTGTTATACGTTCTTTAGAAAGTTTTCCATCCACACACCTTTCGCTTCGAAATTTAAGAGTTTTATCTGTCGTCATTTTGTAAAAAATACCAGTTTCGTTAGCATTAAAAATGTCGTCAGCAGGGTACTTTTCTGCTAGTTTTGGCCACGTCTTCTCCAGCTATTCGTTATCTGTCCATATTTTATACCATGTCTCTGACGTCCCCCAACCGTCCTTCAGAAGAAGCCTTGAAGTCGATAATGCCAAGCTGTTCAGCAAACTTTTCTGCTTTTAGTTTTACGATGGGTCCAGAGAGTGGTACATTTTTAAGACGTTTTTTACTAGAACTGCGTGCCGCTTCAGCCTGAATGATTTTTTCTTTGCACTTCCAAATCGTGGATACAGTCGACGGTGTAAGAGTTCTCATTGTATTTTAAAAGCATTTTCAAATTTAGGATGTCAAACTTATATCTTCTAACATTGAGAATTTTCATTGTTTCTCCTTCTAAAATTATATATCATCATTTTAAGGAGGTAACGCTATCCAAATAAAGAGATAATTTGAGAATAAAAAATTGAAACATTTTAGAACAATGAAAAATATATCTTGAGAATAGCTTCTATTTATTTTTCAAGCATATTGAAATTCTTAATTGAAACTGGTGTCCTTAACTTGAAAATACTTAAATATTGAAGTTATTCTACAATTAAGAATTTGTTTTTTGCCAAGAAAACTTTAAACTTTAAAAGATTACTGCCTAAAGTTTCGTCCATTCACTTGAGAAACACCCCAGACTCCAAAAACGCTTGGCTCTGACGCTTATCACGATTAGAGACAACGAGAGCAAAACCGACCAAAACAATATCAACTTTTTGTATAGGTAGATAGAATATACAGAAATCGAAGACTCGCATCGTTCTAGTTACACGTCCACTTGCTTTCCATCGACATGTGACATATTTCGCTACTTACTAATCTAGCAAAACACTTTGATATATCTACATGTAAAAATACAATACCTATAACCAAGTAAAATTTGAAAATGTGTGGTCCTTCGTGTATAACAATGTAACGTGTTTGTATATGAATAGTCCCCCCTGCTTCCATAGCGTTTAAGAATATTTTTATAGTGCCGAATGAAATTTTACGAATACGGTGGTTACGGTGTATGTTTATCGTTCGTTATTGTTATTGACTGCATTGTTATAATCGTAATTAGATGGTGGCGAGAAATAAACAAAATGGCGTTCATTGTTAGATCAACTTGTTGTTTTACATTTAAATATACAGGTTAAAGGCCTTAATTCTAAAACAAAATAGCGTAATGTTACCTATATACGCGTGGTTGTTTAATTGTATTTGCCATAGATGGTGTTCCATTTCCGAATATTTGTTTAAAAATTTAACGCAAAAAAATAAGCAACAAAAAAAATTCTTTCATTTTCATGATTTATAAGAAAAAATTCACAATTAGCCATCAAGGGGCCTCGGTGGCCTGGTGGTTTAGGGGGCGAATCTGTAATCTTAGAGATTTTTAATATAATGGTTCATGAGAATCAATTTCAAATTAAATTATTGTCCATTTTTATAAGAAATGTGGACACCATAATTGTCAATAGATACGTATTAAAGTAGTAGCCCTAAGCTATCAGCAGTGTAGAAGTAAACCAACAGCAGGCCAAGTTGGGCCGTGAGTGCCACTGTTGTCATGGCAACGGTAAAGTTTATGTAGTCTATTTACTGCGGGTTTCACTGTGTTAAAGACTTATTTTTGCGATATTCTATTTTTTATTTCATTTCTTATTGTGTTGTTATGGGCCCAGAGAAAGAAAACAAAATGAGGTGTGTACATTCCAAGAACTATAGGCAAGTATCACTGCATTAGAAAACGTGCTAAACCTAAAATAAGTTTTCAGCAGCTACGTTTCTTTCACGGGCGACTTTGATTGGATATTGGGGTGACAATATTTGCTTTTGTCAAATTTTTTAGACTAACATTAAGGAAATATCTTCGAGTAAAAATGCTTTGGGGTTTAAGGTGATAATAACCGACCTTTGGATTTACATTCGAGAAATCTTTTCTTTATCGGGCGAAAAAAAAACTAGCAGCGATACTTTACAAATAGTGCTGATGATTGAATTAGTTTTAAAGTGGGAGAGGTGGACTTTTTGTCAAGTTTTGGGCTTAGCGTATGCTTCATATTTCGCTAAGAAAACTCCTTTACAGCCCTAAGGACTTTTCCGGATATAAAATTGATATATAAATAATTGTTTTGTTCGTAATAGATAGTGACTTGTCTGGAGAATACATTGTGGGTGCCGTTGTTGTAATTTTCCTGAATAAACTAATAAAAAAATAAAAAAATGCTAATGGTAATGCTCTAACATATGACCCATGAATTTGCACTATTTTTTGTCACATTTTACAAATAAAAAATTATAGATTTTAAACTAGTCAAATTAGTTTCTCCGAACAAATACGTGCCCCTTCAAGACCTAAGGTCGAATCAAGATGACCTAGGACGTTCCCTATCGTGCCCTTGGGTCGAAGTAAGCTACCCTCTGTCTTACCTGTGTTCCGTCCCTTCGAGTCCAATGTATCTACCCCATTCTCCACCTCTCTCAATCTCTCCTCTCAACAAAAGAACGCCAAAATTAAAAGACAAACGAAGAAATTTTTTAAAAAAACCATCATGGCAACAGATTTCTGTTAGTAGCATTTTTTTCCTTCTAGGTACCTAACAGCAAATTATACTGGAAATTTTTTGATGTTTATAATGACTTTATAATGATATTCGATTTACTAGTGCCAAATGCATAATCTCCCGGAGAATATTTGGAAATTAAAAAAAATTATTTGATTTTCGAACATAATTTGGTGTGGAATTTTCTTATCGCAATTGATTCGGCCCATAAAATACAACAATGATATTAACTAATAACACAAATTTTAATTCAGAAACAATTTTTATTTAAGCATAATTATGTTACAGTAAAAGACGAATCTTGACTTGTTTTTCTTGAGTTTATTACTATAAAACTTATTGTTGAAATGTTTTTTTTTTTACTTTCAATAGTATTCCCTTCTTTTGTTTAATCTACAGCTGAAAAAATTATAATAATTATGATTACTTTATTATCCAAAAAGCAAAAAGAAAATGGAGCTTTTAAACTCGACCTTTTACACACGAAGAAAACGAGTGAAAAGGCATTCGTGGACATCAATCTAAACAATCAATTATTATCAGAAATATATGCTGTTAATCTTTTTTTGTAACTTATTAAGGATAAGTGATTTTAAAAATTTCCAAGCAATTTGTCGATCAATTTAGGAACTTTATATGAAAGAGAGCTTTGAAGTAATGTAGATTTATGTCTAGATCAAAGTGGCAACTGTACATTAGTACTATTAAAAAAGTACTTAGTTTTGCTGCTCTTAGTTGCTACTTGTTAATTGAGTCATATAAACCGTTCAAAAAGTTCTAAGATGTTAATTATAACGTTTTTTTCGAAAATTCACCATTATCCCCAAAGGCCACTCAAACTATTAGACAAATTCTTCGAAAATGGAACACAGTATTTGTCGTTATGGAATATATAAATATATACATGTTTATGAATTGTGAGCATGTCTAATTAAAGTCATTTCAAACTAAACGTAGATATAGAGCAACCGCAAAATAATTCCCCCCAGTACTATACCATGGCGGATTAAAATTTTGAATCTATCCTGTCTTTAACGTAGAGATATGAAAAGACTGTAAGAGAATATGCGGTAATCAAAAGTAAAAATGCAGACTTCGAGTGACGTGAGTAACGTTTCGTTGTTTAGGCAATTTTATTTTGTCAAATAATCGGCACACATTAAAATCCGATTTAGATTGATTCTTTTCCATCCGTGTGGAAAAACCACACTGGAATGTTCTAATCGAAAAACTAGCTGATATTTGATTTAAATCATCGCAAAACGAGTGCTTTTTTTTTACTAAATAATGTAGACGTAGATTTTATAATATTTTATTTGTACAAAAGCGACAGTGATGATGTTTTTTTTTTTGTTAAATTATATAACGACGTTTAAAATATTAATGTTAATAAAGTAACTGGTACAGATCAGTAATTTCTTTGCATTTTCCCGCCATCTTAAAGAAGTTGTTCTCCGTGTTAAGTTAAATATGTGGTCGTTTTCGAATTTGCCGCCGTGACATTATAGGTTGCGTGGCTGATGTCAAAATAGACTTTTACGTCAGACATGAAGAAACAATAGCGAACTTTCGATGGAACCATTGCACGTGGCGGACGTTGCTCCTGCCCGGTTCCAATAAAATTGTAGAAATCGGTTGAAATTAGTGTCGTTTAAAGAAAATGTTGTTTGTTTCGAGAAGTAGTGTTCGTTTTACGCGGATGTACCCTGATTTGTGATGTGTTATTCCATTATGTATATGTTAGCACGGTTTCCGAATGTCCTGTATTCACGCTGGTAACCAGGCCGGATGGGATCGGATATCCCGTATAGGATAATTGCGGGAGTCGTATGAAGAATCGGTGGTCATTTTATTACAATATTTAGAAATTGTTCCCGTTTTTGTATATATTAACTAACCTGAAGGATGATGGATTAGTCCAGACTCTTCTTTAAGGAAGGCATTCTTCAGGATTTTTGTATATGTTACACTCATCGTAAGCTGGCCATAGCAGTCGTGGCCATTAGAAGAATAGCACACTTGTGGCATAAATTGAGAGTACACTACAGTCCACAGGGACAAAGTTGAGATCGAATTATATCAGCACCAGAATTATAGTGGTTTTAAAACCGATCTCGTAATTAACTTTTCTACTGTTTATTACGCCAAAACCGCAATCCCTTATAGACAGATAGATAGATTCATTTATTGACTACGTTTCGTACAAAAGGGACGTACAATTGTAGCAAGTCAGAAGTGATATCCAAGTGCAATAAAATCAAATTAATAAATAACATAAAAACACACATCTAATACAAACAAAATTAGACAGTACTATACAGTTTTATAGCGCACCGATACCAGTGACAGTGTCAATGTATGCTCGCAGGGAGTAAAAACAATGACGTTGCAGGAATTCTTTAATAGTATGTTCAAATTTTCTATTGCTCATCTTTTTCACGGTACCTGGCAAAACATTATACAATTTCAGGTTCAATGAGTTGTTCTCAGACTTCCTCAGTCTAAACCTAGGCCGTCTAAGGAGATCCCCCGAACGAGTTGAATAGGCATGGCAATCGGAATTAGCGCTAAAGTTTCCTTTCGTTCTCTGTATCTCTAATAACTGGTAGTAGATATAGATGCAAGGAAGGGGCATCACTTTGAATTTTTTAAAATAAGGTTGACAATGGTCCCTATATCCTATATTAGCAACGACTCGAATGGACCTTTTCTGCATTCTAAAAATCTCCACAGCAGCTGAGGAATCACCCCGCAGTACCGTGCCATAGCATAAGTGTGAATGCAACAAAGAAAAATAGACCATAAGCAGAGTCCTTGTTCCTATCAGGCCTCTCAGTCGTCGAAGAACGAATATGTTACTGGACAATCTATTTTTCAGGTCTGAGATATGTTGTTTCCAATTTAGACTATCATCGATCGTAATGCCAAGCAACTTGACGGACTGTCCACTATTTACCAAGCAATTGGAGGAAAACACAATACTCTGGGTCTTGTCTAAATTTAATTTAAGATAATTATTTTCGAACCAGACATTAGCCCTGTCCTCCAACATGCCAACCCTAACGGACAACTCCTCGATACTCTTAGCAGATGTAGTGAAGGATGTATCGTCGGCAAACATCACGCACTGATTGGGGGCCATGAAATGATAAAGGTCATTTATGTATATTGTAAATAGTAGCGGGCCCAGGACGGAACCCTGGGGCACCCCGCTTACTACTGATTCAAGTGATGAACGGTCATCCTGGTATTCTACAAACTGCTGTCGGCCCTGCAAGTAGGACGCTATAAGATCTAAGGGCAGACCTCGTATACCATATCTGTATAGCTTTTTAATAAGAAGCTGGTGAGAAACACAGTCGAAGGCCCTGGAGAGATCACTCAAGGTCAAACCAACTAAGTCACCCCCCTCGAGGCCCTCAACTATCCCACTCACAACTTTAGACACTGCTTGGATCGTCGAACACCCTCCCCTAAATCCAAACTGACCGGCACAAAGACATTCGATCTTATTAATATAAGAAGTTAGCTGATCTTTTAGTAAGATCTCAAAAACTTTTCCGAACAAAGGCGCGATTGAAATCGGCCTGTAGTAGTTAGCATCATTTAGATCACCTGCCTTATGGATTAGAACTACTCTCGAAATCTTAAACAGCGACGGAAATACACCTGTGTCAATACATTTATTAAATAAAGTGGTTAATGGCAGTGTAATGTATTCAACACGTCCCTTCACCAAGACACTATTGATATCATAAGCATCGCTAGAATAAGATTTTTTTAATCTTAGTATGGCTCGGTATGTATCCTCACAAATTATCGGATGCAAAAAAAAGTAGTTTCCTCCAGTGGAATCCCTTCAACACATGCACTCTGTATACCGTTAAGATCTTTATAATATTACTCGAGACAGAACTAAAAAAACTGTTAAGATCATTTGCTGATAATTCAGATTCTTTATCACATCTCCCAACACAATTTCTTTCATAGTTAACGATTTTCCAGACATCTTTGTTTTTTTTTTTTTGGTTGTTTGGTTTGTTGAATTTTTTGTTTATATTCCTTATTTAGCGATTTATACACTTCTGTATAAAGAGGGTTCTGTGAGACTTTACTGAGAGTTTTAACAGCTGACACTCTGTTTCTAAGAGCTACTAGATCTTCATCAAACCAGTTGACCGGTGATTTTTTATGAGGAATGTTGTTAACAGAACAATTTCGTTTGATCAAGTCTTGAACTTTGTGCAATATAAATGAACACCCCTTACCTGTAATATCATTATTAATGTACAAAATATTAAATATAATAATATTAAAGTATCGGTCACTTAAAAAATGGTCACTGTAGCTACTGTCGTCACCTAGTTTAATGATCAATTCCGCCACTAATCGTTCTCGCTTAATATTTTCTTTTTTTATTACTCGTTTTTCACAGTTAGACCAGTTTTGTACTGATATTTTAGCTCCCCTTGCCGAATTACGTTTATGAAACTATCAGTAAATTTTGGTACAGTGTACAGTTTTGTATAGTTTCTTCTCATATGTGCTTTCAACTCAGACCAAATCATGTCATCATTTGAAGAAGTATTTGGAACGTTTCCGCTAAGTAATGGCCTATTTTTCTCTCGCAATTTTCCATTTCATTTAAATAACACATCCTCATTTCGAAATTCTTTGACGATTATTAATTGTTTGAAACTGAAATTCCATTTTCTTCAAAAAAAAAAATACACAACGACTCTTTTTTTTGCGGTTCTTCTAGGGTTAAAACATTATTCAGTTTATAAGCGTGGTAGATTATACTCCTAATTAGATCTGCGTGTTGCTCTTTGAAAACACGCGAAGTACCAGCATCATTTCTCACTTTCCTCTTGACTATCCCATTTGCAACAAATTTTCTTTCATTTGAGTTCAGAACTTTTGGTCATGTAATAATGTAATCAAGGAAGAAGTCATTTTGTCAATGTACCAATTTATTTGCAAATAATTAAGTAACTTACATAAATTAAGAAAACGCGTATTCAAAGGCTTCAATTCAAACGACTTAAAAAAAAAGAAACAAGAAATGTTGCCATTAAGAAGCAAAAAATACAAAAATATATAAAAAAATAACTAACAGTATTACACCGGACACCTGCACTTCTAATATCTCCAGAAGATCAAGTTTTTTGCTTTTTGGCCACCTATGTAAAATAATGACATTCTCATTCGGAGAAAAGTCATGCCTAGCGGACCAAAGATGAGCAGCAATAGGTCTCTGTCGCCTCAGTGTGGTTGTACTTTTTCACCGTGAACTCTGATGGAGGTCTTCCCGCCAGATTGTCCGATATAAAGTGCATCAAAGAATATACTCCTGATCTTGAAAAATAATCTATTAGATCCTTAATATTAATTATAAATTGTTTTAATGTATTGCTTGTTATTTTCGAAAATCGATAAAATCGAATTTTTGAATAGTATCTGCGCTCGTATAAAAATTTTATATCTCGGTAAAATGATCACCGTCGACAAAAAATATTTTTTTGTCTACTTGTCCGTTCTCCATTCTCCGCTCTCGTCTTTTGATCTTTCCTGAACAACTTTTGAACCGTTGGAGCGATAAAATTGAAATTTTCCTCCTTTTTAACCCTCCACGAGGCACACAAGCTTATAAGAAATGGCCCCGATCCGACGCCGGTATCCATCTTTTTGGACCTTGCTATTAAACACAATGAATGTCTGAAAATTGCCCCGTGACGGAACCTGTTAAAATTGGGGGGGCTGGGGGGTCGGGAAGTATTAAAAAAAATAAAAATCACGCGTGCAAGAGTCTACAATAAAGATCATTTTTCAAAAACTGTTTACGAGATCATAAGAAGCAGAAGCTATAAACTTATATTCGTTTCAATTTTTCAAAAATACACAGGATGCTCCGCAAATTCAAAAAACTAAAAAAAGGGTCCGCCTATTATTGAAAATTGGTTATAACTGAAAGACTATGATTCAGATCTTTCTTTCTTTTATATTGCGATATACCCCGCATAGGCAGAAAAAACTTTTGTATTTAAGGTTTTCACCTATTGTACAGGATGTTCCCGATGTTCCATGCTAAATGATAAATGTGTTAAGTGTCCTAAATTTGCAGATATCAACTTAAAATTTAGCAGAGAAGTAAAAGTCCGTGTCCACATTTAAACTGTAAAAATTGGGCGCAATCAAATATTACCAAGTATTTTTTAAATATACTTGATTTTTTTTTTGGTAATTTCGTTCATCCGATTGGCAAAATTCTTTAACGGGCAGACGCACAAAACCCAGTGCAATAACATTTATTTCAGGCATTTTTTCGATTTTCTACAGGGTTTTCAAATTACAGGCAAAAATTATCAGCCGCAAATCAAAAATCGTAAAAATGTGGCTAATTGGTTCAAACGGTTTCGTAGGCCGCATCAAGAGCTACAATTTTTGTATTTGCGGTTTTCATCACACATTCTGCTCGGGATATTTGAAAAAAATCCATATTGAAATCGTTATTTCGGGGGCTGTCGAGACGCGATGACGTCATTGATTATTACGGCCGCACTGCATGGTTTCAGAAAAAACTTATTTCCTAGAAAACCATTTACTATTTTCAAAAAATTCTTGAACCGGGAAACGCTCTAACCTCCACTTCGAGCAATGATTGAATGATGTACAGGGTTTGTCGTTTATTTTCCGTTTATTTCCGTTTTTGTGAGTAAATTATTGGCGATAAATGAAAAACCGTTAGAGATGGGATAATTTTATTGGAACAGTATCGTAAACCGTGTCGTGAGAGAGTTTCAGGTTTCGTCAATTATACGGGGCGCCTACATAAAACGGTTTCTATAATCGCATTTCGTGAATTCGACTTTGTTTACATTTTCAATAGAAGTTAAACTAATAAGTTTATAAAAACACAGCGTTTGCGTTAACTCTGCACGTGTCGCTAATTTTTTTAACAACACTTTCTACACCTTAATTCCATTTTTGCCTGAAAATTTAATAACATTTTGAGAAATTACTGCCGCAAGGGGTAGAACGTAAGAAAATATAATTAGAGCTGCCACTGGTTAAAAACGAAATTTCAAATCTCGCGTACGCGCACATTGACCAGGCCTCAAAATTTTGTTACATAATTGCTTCACAAGTTCCTGTACTATTGGCATGGGCAGGACCTCCATATGTCTAGTAGCTATATGGTTTTACCAGAAAGCGCGGTTGCAACATTCTTGTATTCGGATACTCTTTTACTCTTGAAGATAGAAAAGAATCCCGCAGATTGACTCGAAACAAAATAACGCTGCTATTAATAGAACGTAAAACGCGCTTCTTATCGCGACAGATAGCACGGCGTCGCACTTGCGCGCGACATCCTTCCGAGCCGTTCCCACCGCGAAATGTAAATTTCGTTTTTTTTTCTTTTATTTCTACGCGAGAAACGGCCGAACACAATACATAATGGGAACGAAACGTCGTTATTGAATAGCGAAAACTAGTTTGCGAAAACCCGTCGCAGGCGGCCGGGTCCGATTTGCGTACGCACACGTGCGTGCCTGAGAACGACGGCATCGAGGTTGGCCGCGTTGGGAAATACGCGAGCGCGGGATCGAGCTGGCGTGGACGGTTTCGCGAAAAGGGACAAACAAAAGAGGAGGACCGGCAAATTCGAGAATTTTGGGGTTAGGATTCGCGTTCGACCGATGGACGGCGATTAGGGAGAGTAGCCGCGACCGTCTTCGGTTTGTTTAGTTTTAGTTTTGTCCTTTTGAAATGTCGTCGTTGCTCGGGAAGGTAAGTGACGTGAACCGCGTAGTTTTCCTGCTGGCCGCCCGCGCCGAACAGCTGACGCGGCGTGAATGGAGTGACCGTGACCTTTCCGCTTTCATTTGTTTTTTTTTTGTTTATTTTCAGCCGATTTTGTACTCGTACTGGAGGAGCTCGTGCTCTTGGAGGGTCCGTATTGGTGAGTGCGTTTTTTTATGTCAGAGTATTCTGGACTGTTTTCCGAGGTCAGTGAACGGTTGCCAGTTTCAATAAATATACAGTGCGTTCCATATGAGATACGAAGATAGTTTAATTTAAAAAAAAGGTGGGAAATTTAAAGTGGCAACGAGAAAGACACCATTATTTTTTAAATAAAATAAAATAAAACACATATGAACAGGTAGGAGATACTACAGCATTACTAAAACTATAAAGATTCGATTGAACACATCATCAGACCTATAAAAGCGATTTTTTTGCAAATATTTCGGAAGAGCGGTTTTTAAAACATTTAATTATACATTTTTATCCCTCCTTAACATTCGAAAATAAAGGAACGGTTTTTCGAAAAAGCTTCAAAATTTTCTTCTTGCCTGGTGTCCTCTGGTTTGGATGCGGTTTTCTTCGATTTCCGTCCCTTTCCCGAGAAGAGCTCCTTAATGATGAAAACTAAAATTAGAACCATGATTATTCCAAAAACAATAACAATTATTTGGAACGTATTTCCATGGAGTTAGTCTTTTGCCTGGTATATTTCGTCAATATTTATTTTTGAAAGACTGGGGTATTCAGGATAGGAAAATATTGGTTTCCCGAACTGGATTTTTACATCGTCGAAGATTTTTGCTCCATTAATTTCTATTTGACCGTTTACTGGTATCTCAATCAGTACTGGTACTGCGATTTCACATATATCGATCCGTGTTACACTTGATTAGCAGTTTGTCAGGCTTCTGTGGCAGAACAAGAACTAAATTTTGAGTGATTTGTTTTATAATTGCTTCTGATCCACAAAATTTACCTGCGTTCCCAAAATTTGGTAATAAGATTAAAAACTTTTAAATAGTGGAATTAGATTTTCTTTATAGATTGATATTGATAGATATTTAGGCATTTTATTGAAGTCATTATAATATTTTGCCAATGTAAGTTTAATTGCGCTATGATCCCGTCAAAACTAAGATAGTTTTGTAAATAATTTATCGTCATAAATACTGCATTTTGTAATGTTTTTAAACCAGTTTGTAGTTTACGTTGGTTTTCATTTAATTTCACAATAGTTTTATTATAGTTAGGCCCTTTGATAAAGATACTTGTAGTTTTAATTCTTTGACTAGATTATTTTAGTTTTTCTCAAGTGTATCTATTGCTATTTTATAATAATTTCCGGCCTCGTTCTTTACGAACATTAGGATGTAAATTTTCAAGTTTTCCACAGTAATTTGCATTAAAAATTCAGTTCTTAAAAGTCAATTTTCGACAAGTCCATAATAAAAAATATTATTTCTTTGATTATAATTTATAAATTAACCTTGGGTTACCTATCTGGGTAGGAAGTATAGGATTTACTAGTGTGGTAACTTGTACGTCTGTCGTTACTATTTGTTCAGTTAGCATTGCTACGAGTAGAAGCGTCAACATTTTGATCTTCATTTTTTTCCTGAAAGAATAGATTTTTATTAGCCTTTGACCTTGAACTACTTTTATGATAGCTTGTCTTGAGTGTTTTTAATTTATTTTCCATTTGGTTTTTTAACGGTATCTTTTTAAATTTAGGAAGTTCTTTGCTTCTAAATTTTGTTTTAATCAAATCATATTCTTGACCACTAAAATCTGGTCGTTCTTCACGATTTTTCCTTCCTTTCGTTTATTCGTTTAATTCCTTTATTTGTTGGTACAATTTACTTGAGTTTTCTTTGTGCCATTGCGATTTCGATCAAATGGGTTTTGAGGGTTTTGACCATTTATCACTTCAAAAGGTGTAAATTTCTGTGTGTATAGAGTACTTGTATTCCATTACTGCTCTCTTTATGAGTTGATCTGTAGTTAGATCTTTGTTTTCTTCTTTAAGACATCTATAACTTTCAATATTACTTGAATGAAATCTCCATAGGTGAGTTTGAATTACTATTTTGTGATGTAACTTAAAAAAGTTTTCGAGGTTCTTGTTTTTAAGTTCTGTTCCCTCATTTGAGGTTATTTTCAATGGTAATCCGTGATGCATTGTAAAATTAAAAAGGTTTTCAACTACCTCGGTTCCTGTTATGCTTTTTAATGGACACTCTTGTCCATAGCGCGCAAATGCGTCAATTATTACAACATAAGCTTCATATGGTTTATCCTAAAAGTATCGACGTGAATATTTTCGAATGGTTTTGATGCTGTTGGGGTTAAGTCGAATTTTATCACTTTTGGTTTTCGATCATACTTATTCTTTTGGCATATGTCACAACTGTTAACATAATTTTCTATGTCGTCGGACATTTTTGGCCAATAACATTTTCTACAAAGGAAATTCTTCATTTCATTTATCCTACCGACTGCGCCATTCAAATGTTCAAAATTCGGGAGAGCGTTTTTAAAAACATTTATTTATACAGAAAGCAAAATAAGGTTTTATTCGGACTAGAACAAATAGGGCTTTGATCAAAAACACAACAGGCTTACACCGGTGACCTGCAGTTTGTTTTAATATTGAATCAAGGTTAGGACTTTTCTCGGCTTTGGTGATTTCTAATTTCTCCAGTTTTTCACTTTTTGGGCACTCGTGTGAAACAATGCCATTTTTATTAGGAGGAAAGTTATGTGCCGTGGACAAAAGATGAGTACCGAAAGCAGATTTGGTCCCAGTGTTCTTGTACTTTTTCATCGAACTGAGATGTTAGCGAACCCTGACGGAGATTTTCCTGCCACACTGTCCGATATAAATTGCACTACAATCCTCACAGTTCAAAGAATATACTCCTATTGGATCCTCAACTTTTATTATAAATTGTTTTCATGTTGCGCTTGTTACATTCAAAAAATCGATGAAATCGAATTTTTCGAAAGTATACGCGCTTGGCAACGAAACTTATATCTCGGAAACGGTGCGTCATACAGCGTCTGTACCAACAGATGGAATCGGCGTCGAAAAAAAAACGTTTTCGTTTCTTCGTCTGTTCTCCGTTCTCTTTTCTCTGTTCTCTGTTATCTGTCGACGCTCCATAAAAACGCGAATAACTTCCGAACGGTTTGTGTGAGGGATCTGAAGTTTTGCTCCTTTTAAACTGGCCACGAAACACATAAGCCCATTGGAAATGGCCGCGATTGGAAATTGAAAAATTGGAAACTTTTGTATTTTAGGTTTTCACATATTGCACAGGGTGTTCGGGATATTCTGTGCCACATTCAAAAATGTAACAGATGTATTAAATTTGTAACTATCGCCTTCAAATTTAGCAGAGAAGTGAAAGTCCGCATCCACATCCAAACCGTAGAAACTGGGAGTAATCGAGACTTGCGTAGTATATTTTTTTTGAATTTTGAAATTTTGTTTTTCCAGAAAAAACAAAATTTCTTGAAAACTATCAACTTGATTGGCAAAATTATTTTACCTGGAGACGCGGAAGATTCGGTACTATAACTTCTATTTCAAGCATTTTTTCGATTATGTACAGGGTTTTTTGCAATTAAAGACAAAAATCTAAAAGACCCTGAAAATCATTCTTTTCGCTATTATTAGCCATAACACAAAATTGTGAAAAATATTGCCAATCGGTTTAAACAGTGTTATAGGCCACACCGGCAGCTACGGACTTGCCCCGCTCACCGACGATTTTTCGAAATCTTCTTCATCTTCTACATTCCGACCTAAAATATAAAAAAATAGAGATATTTTTATGAATATATCTCGAAGGAACACTAGGAGGCCTTCTAATAAGGTGATATCGTCTGCACTATCACTTCTATTATGATACAGCCTCTTTAGAACCAAACGAATTATTTTTTATTTCCACCTTCGTCTCTTTCAAGGATAGAAATGACTTCTGCCTGCCTCTGAGTTTTTTTTTTGTGCCCTTTATATGTCGTCTACGGATAATTCGATTCTGTAATATTCAAAACTAAATAGTTTTTCTTACCTGACTCAAAAAAACTCTATGCACATTACGTGAAGACCAGGAATCCCCCTCTCTTAACAGTTATTCAAATTTGCCTGGTGTTTTGATGGATGGCCAAAAACATTCAAATTTTCTAGGAGTTAACCAACTGTAATGGACTATAGATAAGCCGCCACCTTCGTCGTCTTTCTGCATAATTAATAAAGAACGTGCTTACTAAATTAACCTGGAAATTAACTAATATCATGCAGAAGCCTTGCTGTTTTTGTTACAACTAACAAATATGGATACTGCAAAATACTCACGTTTATACGGAATCCACACATCGACAATGTAAGTATCGGTTATATGGCGTCCATTGCGTGCCCTTGTTTGCTATTTCAGTTCGACCGTTGGTTAGTCCGTATTGGTTGACGCACGCGCAGGCACATGGCGGTTAAATTAAATTTGAACGGCACAGAAAATTTATTAATTTTCTAGTTTCCCGTATATTTCTAAAGATTTGAAACCAAAAATAAAAAAGCATTAAATTACTCGTCACGTAAATACAAAATATTACCGGATTTTTATCGTCAATTTTAAAATCGATGAATAACAATTATAAACAAAATGAAAAATATCAATAAATATTCTAGTAGGTTATCTTACATATGAGCCGTTCATTTTGAAAGTGACTGAAATCCATTTATCTTTAATTTCAAATATTTAAGATTTGCAATGTTAAATCGCATTTAAGGGATTTAATTTTATACATCCCATTAAAAAGTCGCTATTATTAAGTATGTGATATGACCTGGCTTACCTTAAAAGGAGTTGGGTCACCTTCAAAATAAAAATTTGTTTTGTTATAAAAAGTGAAACAGAAGTCCGTTACATATAGCTTAAAAAATAGGAAAAAAAAACATTTAAATTACGTTTTTAGATAATAGAAATAAATTTAGTAACAAGTTATTCGTTGACATTCTCAGTATGCGGGAGTGATTTGAAATAGTTATGGTATTCCGGAGGTATATACCGCAATAAGTCCATCATGTGTTGGTAATTTAGTGATGTGATGCTTCTTATACTTTTATATAACGATGGCAATACAATATTCCCAAATTTTTTAGGTCTACCCTGACGTGGCAATAAATTAAATTAAAAATTTTATATGGTTCATTTCTTCAAAAATCGCATTCAACATATTTGAAGCCAGTTTGTTTTTTCTCCGTTGATATTTTTGGACCTTTTGTAAACTGCTTTTTCCAAGAGTCTTGTTGATATAAAATCCTCTTGTTTCATTTCATTTACTATGAAAGTATGACCTTTTATACATTTTTTTATTATATTATAATAATCTTGTGGCACATACATAACTGATTTCTTTTTAACATTTCTATAACGTCAAAATCTCTGCCATTAGGTCAAAATGAATGCTCTAATATTAAAAATTTGTGATCTATGATTTCCACACCGATTCCCATCTATAGAATTTTTAACCACTTTAAAGATATTTTCATGTTTCTGTTTTGTCCTCGACACATGTCACTATATGCAATGATGTATTTTTCACCTTTCAGGGTTGGGAACCTCTAGAAGCTTTTGCTTCATCCCAAACGTACATGTATACATTATCGTTGTGGGAATTGTGTATGCCTAAATTTAAAATATACACTTCACATTTATAATAAGCTACCGAAGTAGTTAACTTTGGGAATGGTAACGCTTTCTGCAAATCGAATGAAAAGCCAAAGTAATGAGTTGGATTACTTGATACTCGCTCTTTAACGCTTTTCTAGCCGATCCTGCTAGGTGCAAATGAATATCATGTTTATCCATAAGTTTTTCTGTTTGTTGAGTTCAAAATTATGTAAATTTCTTTTTAATTTTGTGTATCTTAAACATGCCGGACATTTCAGTCAATGTGACAACAGGGCGCTGTACGCCAAACCGGCAAGGTCTACGTTTCTGCTAGGCGAGTAACAATTTTGTAGCGTTACGGTGTAGACGTGCTCGGCCTGGGTCGCGACGTCGCCGCAATGTGAGATACAGTCCATTTATAGAAAAGAAAAATTCAATAAATATTAAGTGATTGAGGAAACGCTTGTATTATTGAAGAAACACTGTTCTACATGGTTTTCTGATGCTATGACTTCAACGTTTAATCACATCTTTGACATGTTGGTGGAAATGTAGATTAAAATCCTTTTTGAATGTTTTTCTATATAAGTCCATTCATAACTGCTTTTAAATTATTTTCTTCACAGTGAAGCTCATAAAAATTAAACATTTTTTTATAGTCAGTTCAGGATGAAGATATTTTCTGTCGGGATTATGGTCCCTAGTATAATTTTGGGAAATTGTTAATATGGTTTTGAACAGTCATATTTGCTTCATCACATATTTTTCTCAACGGTCCAGACAAACGCCCTCGTAAATCGTTGAAAACGTTTTTAGATTTTATTATACGTTTCACTCGTCCTTCGCTTATTTGAAAAGTATCTCATTTCTACATGAACTTTTTCCGTTTCTCTGGCGTCTTCTTTTTACGACATTACGTCCGGTCGCTTCGTATAGCAATATATTTTGCGTATTAAAATCTATAAAGGTTCCAAAACATTTCGAAAATACATTTTCTTTCTGTTTCATTTTAAATTTTCAAGCAGTCTTTTCGGCATTGGCAATCTTCATTTTCAAAAACTTTGGTAGGGATAATTTTTCACTATTGTGTATCGTATGTTTTCTCCGAATTCCGTTTAAATTTACGAATTTTCGTGTTCTCTGAATGCTTCTTCACACTTCCTCTTCCCCTGTTGAAGAAGGAACTTCTAAAATTCTCCTTCTTTGTTTAAATCTACTGTATGAGTGTAATTCCTTTTCACTTTGTACTCAATCAGTACTACATATCAGAGAGGTCGTATTTACTCGAAAAAATAAATATACTATTGGGTTGTTCGAAAAGTCATTTCGTTTTTTTTGGGGAACATGAAAGACAGTTTTCCTATAATGAATAAATATTTTATTAAATTATATATCGGCCATTCTGGTCCAACACGTTTTGCCATCTTTCTGGCAGTGACATAATTCCCCTCTCATAATAGTTTTGGTCCTTGCTGGCAAAAAACTGGTTCAGGTGGTTTTTGACATCTTCATTTGAGGTAAAGGTTTTGCCATTCAAGCTGTAAAAGTTTTTGGCGAGTGACCAAACTTGTGTGAGGCCTCGCATTATCCTGGTGGAACACTACACCCTTCCTGTTGATTAATTCGGGCCTCTTCTCTTTAAGTGAATCATTCAATTTGTCCAGTTGACGACAATAGACTTCTGAATTAATCGTTGTATTGTCCGGCAAAAGCTCAAAAAAAAACGATTCCTTTGACATCCCACCAAACGGAGAGCATCACCTTTTTTTGGTAAATGTTGGCTTTTGACACGCTTTGAGCCGGTTCATCTTTTCTGCTCCATGACCTCTTGCGTTTAACATTGTTGTATACAAGCCATTTTTCGTCCCCAGTAATAATCCGCTTCAAAAATGGATCATTGTCTTGACGTTTGAGGAGCGAATCACACACGTCAACGCGACGACACAAATTTCGCTCCGTAAGGACATGGGGCACCCGCAGATCGAGCTTCTAGGTTAAGCCCATGCCTTTCAAATGGCCATAAACAGTCGAATTCGACAAATTTAATCTCTCACCGATCTCTCGTGTGGTTATTCGCCGATTTGCATCAACTAATGCCTTTATCGCATCTTTGTCAGCTTCGACCGGCCTTCCAGACCGTGGTGCATCTTGGACATCAAAATTGCCGGATCGAAACTTTGCAAACCAGTTCTGGCACTGGCGTACTGTTAACACGCCTTCTCCATACACATCCGTCAATTTTTTTCTCGCTTGGACAGCATTTTTACCTTTTCTGAAGTAAAAAAGTAAAATATGACGAAAATGCTGCTTATTGCTCTCCATATTTAAAAGGGCACCAACCAAAAACTACTGCGTGGAATTAATAGAACTTTTTCACACACAAGCCTTACAATATCAGCTCTCAAGACATATAATGGTTATGCGGCTTAACTGTGAAGTTGGTTTCAAAAAAACGCAATTAAGTCCTCTGATGGGAAAAAACGAAATGACTTTCCGAACAACCTTATATTATATATTATACATTTAGGATCATAGTGGTACGTTACATATACGTCCTACTAATGACGCCTACAGAACGTATGATATTTCACGTCTTGGCGACGTCGAGAATAGGACTTCGACGTCGATTACGAATAATTACCAATTATCGACTACTATACGACGTGATCTTGTCAGCTGAGATATTTTTAAGTATATCAGCTGTTACTTTTTTCGGAACCCATCACGCTTTCGTTACAAATTTAGCTTTGTAGCACTACCACTGCTGGATTGAATTTTAATCATTTTGCAACCGTTTGTGGACAATATGTTTACTGTTTGTTATTCAGCCTTGACAAAAACAACTTCTTAATTAATGCAAAGATTATATTCCAATCGATTTTAAATAATTTTTAACATACTGCGTGTTTAAATTAGATTCGAATATTTATTATGATCAACGGCCATTTTTAATGGTCTTGTACCAAAACCTAACTCTATTTCGCAACACGTTTTTGCTACATTTAAAATAAACTATAAAAGACGAGAAAGTTAAAACCCCAATTACAATGAAAACGTAGTAAGTAGCATAAATTTGTTGTTAAAACGACAACAACAAAAAAGATTTTGATTTTGACGTTTATTCCGTAGTATAGTCAGATAAATTTATGCAGCCAATGTAGCTCTTGATCGACACTTTCTAATTGATCGTTCTCATATAAATTGATTAATTCCTGATCTGGTAATTCATTATTTTCAATCGGTTGTACTGATATCGCCATCACTAAAACTAGCGTCTTAACTTTGTTTTCACATTTCACATCTGGTTAATCAGCGATCTACCTAGACAAAGTTTTTTAATACCCTGTATATTTCGGTCAAACTTAACCGCGTGCATCTCGGAAACAGGACATTTTAAAACTGCGATTTATAAATTGTTCCTCTTGAATGTGCGCTTTGTTTTATTAGCTTTGTTACTGTATGTTCAGCTTTGAATCTGAAAGAAATCCCGTACGACGTGAAACCGATATCCCTGATCAAGGCCGGCGGCGAGCAACATTCGAACGAGTTCAGGGACGTTAATCCCATGGAACAGGTCCCAGCTTTGCATATAGATGGGGTCACCCTCGTCGAATCGCTGGCCATTCTGCATTACTTGGAGGAGACCCGTCCCCAAAAACCACTACTTCCGCTGGACTGTATTAAAAGAGCCAGGGTGAGCTTATAAGACGCGGCCGTGTTTTATCAACGGATATCCGTTTTATTCGTTGTTTATTCTCGGCTTTCTTTTATGCTGGCACTGAAATCTTTCCCCTATACCGGGTGATACATTGCTCAATGGCATCGAAACATGTACATTTTATAGCAACTCATGTGCCGAGTTTAAATAAATTTTAATAAGCCAATGTTCAGTTACTGACTTAAATTGCAAAATTGCAAAATGTCAATACAACAAAACTTGATAACGTCAAGCTGGACAATGAGATATGAAATAAAGATTGGTTTACAATAAAGACATGCACATTTGGTTTCACACATTCAAAATAAACTAAGTATTGAACTGAGGTGGCTTTTATGTAATGAAAATCCATTTAACAAAATAAATAAGAACTAGAAGTTCAGATTTTCACGAAATTTTATGACATTTGTTTTGACAACACCGTGTCTTTATCAAATGTAATATTTACAAACCATCTGCTACTATATATACCGAAAAATGACCATAAAACCTTAATTAATGTTGTAAGAATGTAGGTTTAATAATGGAGAGGTATTTAAATCTAATTGATCGTTAAGCAATACATTTGAATGTCTCATTTTGTTAACCTACATGGCTTCCAATAATAAATTTAATTTTTTACTTTTTGTGGCTGTATGTAAAATATCAACATTGTCGTCAAAAATGTGTTTTTCTGTGTTTAAGTGTGTAGCATAATTAGAATCTCGACTATTGTTTTTAAACGCTCTTTTATGTTAATTAATTTTTTTTTTGATTTATTGTTTTTTTAAAATTTTCGTATTATGTTGTTAGTTCTGAAAGCTATTTTTAAACCATATTTTGACAAATGTTTTAAAACTTTTTCACTGGGTCCTCCTATGTATGTAATTGTTTTAAATTGTTCGTGTTCTGTTGTCTGGATTTGTTTTTATTTATAATTTTATCGATATTGGACGGATGATAGCCGTTGTGCAGTGCAATTTGTTTGTGTGTCCGTGTGTGAAGGTTTATGGTAAATGGAAAAATCTAATTTGTTTTGCGTTTTCGTAATAGTTAAGTCTAACAAATTAATAGAGTGAATTTTATACGATTATGTAATGAGTTAATGTAATTCAATTGTCTGTCCGTTCCAACAAAACAAGCAAAGACATTATCCACGTATCTATACCACCATAGAAAACTTTTACTTAAAGGATGTTCTAGTATGATATTTTCCAAATTATCCATAAAAATCTCGTCTAACAAAGGACTAAGTGGGTTTCGCATAATCAAACTATGCTTAGAGATGTAAATCTGTCCATTAACTTCAAAATAATTTTGGTCTAAACATACTATTAAGCAATCTAATAAATCTTGTTTCACCAATGGGTTAACCTGTTTCCGAGTGAGGGTGAAATCTGCTAAATCTATGTTGTGTTAGAAGGGATTTTGATATCTTTAATTTTGTTGATTAATTCAAAAGAAGATTTTGTTGCAAATTTTGGTTTAAAATCTGTGTGAAACTTTAAAATATTTATTAATTTAGTATGTATGTTTATGAATTTTGTTGTTTAAAAAATAAAAAACAATAACACGAAATGTCCAAAATCTCAACAATCAGATGTTAAAATGCCTAAATTGTCCTAAAATTTGTATTGGACAAACAGGTAGATCCTTCAAGAAATGCATTAACGAACATATAAGAGCGTTTAAAAACAATAGTCTAGATTCTAATTATGCTACACACTTAAACACAGAAAAACACATTTTTGACGACAATTTCAATAATACATATATAATATAATAATATATAATAAAATAAAAAATGCCCCAATGTTATGCTTCCCTTAAATTCCCACCATTATATTTATTGGAGATATTGGCATCGAGTATGAACAAAACAATGTTCATTGTCTTGACTCCAAAACCGACAGTTTAGAACATTCATCAGTGAAATGAATATTTAAAAAAAAACCCTAATCATAATTTGCTTTTTTCATCATCTCAATCTCCTCAATATTTTCCTCTTCTTTCTTCTGGATTCCTCCTGCGTCGGTTTTTGTTGACTCGAACCTGTTAACGTTCTGCCAATCACCCTGTTGGCTTCTTCAGAGCTTGACTGAAACTGGCTCGCATTTTACTCTGTACCTGCTTATATATTGGTTGAGGGAGGCGGAGCTAAATGAGGGACGGATGACTGATTCCCATATTGGTGACAGGTAAAAACCCGAGTCGAAAATACATTTTCGTTAATGGTTAACACGATGAGGACTGAGACAGACTATACCTTCACCTTGTAAGAATCTATTCAGGAACAGTTTGATCATTAAACAGAATAAAGTAGTTGGTTGGTTTTATTCAATCTTCCAACTTGAGATACAGTCCTTCGAAGAAGAAATTGGGAATCAACCATATGTGTTAATTCATACGAAATTCTTAATACATGTAATTTTAAACGTTGTTACTTATTATTGTAGGTTTGTTTATCGTTGGTCTAAGGTTCTGAGGAAATAAACACAGTCCGACGTGTAAGAGAGGGTAAACATGACAATTTTAATTTGAAAATGTATAATATATATATTTATTTATTTTTAATTAATAATCATTAAGTATTTTGGTCAAAACGAAAGGTGTTCAGTCCATCAGCGAGATGACACGGTGCGCACCTGAAACTAAAAAAAATATAATGAGTACCAAGTATTATCAAAAATAATAAAACAAAATTAACATTAATTAATATCACCAGAAAACACAGATAAGAGATATACCTTGGCGTGACATAAAATATGGAACTGAGTTTATGTTGGTACTAATGGCAGAACACACAAGCTACCTATTTCAATCACTAGTGGTGATTATTCGGATCGTGCAATGAATACTAAGGGCGGAGACAGACGAAGTATTCTGTCGCAAATAACCATACCGACACTGAAGGGCAGCCACACACGACAGTGCAATAAACAAGTGAGGCCATAATATACTGAAGGGCAGAAACACACATCAGTATATTAGTACTAAGAGCAGAACACACATAGTACCTGTTTCAATCACTAGTGGTGATTATTCCGATCGTGCAATGGATACTAAGGGCAAAGACACACGAAGTATCCTGACGCAAATCTCTTATGTATATTTTATAAATTGAAAATGAAACCGATCATTTGGTATTTTGGCCAATAAAACGAAACCGTCATGAAATTCAAATATTTTACTCGTGAGAACACTCACCTCTAAGTCTTCGCAATTTCACGTGATGCAAACAATAGCCGGCACCACTCGAATGCACGGTTAACCATCTTACAATTCGTCTACCCGTCTTTCGTCTTACAATTCGTCTAACCATTTAGCCGTATTTCGTCTATCCGTCTTTCGTCTTATAATTCGCCTTGCCGCCTTACAATTCGTCTACCCGTCTTTCGTCTTACAATTGGTCTTGCCGTCTACGCGTCTTACAATTCGTCTAAAGGTCTTTCGTCTTACAATTCGTTCATCCTTCTTTCGTCTTACAATTCGTCTACCCGTCTTTCGTCTAGCCGTCTTACAATTCGCCTAGCCGACTTTCGTCGTACAATTCGTGTACCCGTCTTTCGTCTTACAATTCGTCTAACCTTCTTTCGTCTTACAATTCATTTAGCCGTATTTCGTCTATCCGTCTTTCGTCTTATAATTCGCCTTGCCGCCTTACAATTCGTCTACCCGTCTTTCGTCTTACAATTCGTCTTGCCGTCTACGCGTCTTACAATTCGTCTAAACGTCTTTCGTCTTACAATTCGTTCATCCTTCTTTCGTCTTACAATTCGTCTACGCGTCTTTCGTCTTACAATTCGCCTAGCCCACTTTCGTCGTACAATTCGTCTACCCGTCTTTCGTCTTCGCGTGACCCACTTCTTTACCTCTTTTTTGTTTAATCGTCTAATACTGCGTCGTAACCTGCTTTTAACTTTTCGTCGGTGTGCATCAAAAACTAGACCCAAACTCCAGGAACCACCACAAAGCGGCTTTCTTTTGAGATCAACTCACGCCCGTTAAAAGAAATAATGTAAACATAACCTTTTTCAATTGCATACAGAAATAATAAACAAAGGAACACTGTGCCGGCGAAAACTAAACTAAAGGATATATTTTATCTACATTATTATATAATTGCAGGTACGAGAAATATGCGAGGTGATAGCGTCCGGGATCCAGCCGCTTCAGAATCTCACCGTTCTGATTTACGTCGGTGAAGAGAAGAAAAACGAATGGGCCAAACACTGGATCAACCGCGGCTTCAGGGCGGTGGAGAAACTTTTGGCTGCCAGCGCCGGAAAGTACTGCGTCGGAGACGAAATATCCATAGCAGATTGCTGCTTGATCCCGCAGGTGTTCAACGCGCGCCGATTCCACGTAGACTTGAGACCTTTCCCCACCATTTTGAGGATAGACAGGGAACTGGAAAACCACCCGGCCTTCATGGCCGCCCATCCCAGCAACCAGCCCGATTGTCCCCCGGAAGCCATTAAATAAATCTTTTATTTTATTATATTTTATTATTATATACGAACGAATTATGTTTAAGATGTGAAGTTTTACGAATAATGATTGCAATGTCTGCTGGGTTTTTATTTTACATGTCATATTATCACGGCCATAGATACCATAAATAGATTTAAGATTACTTTAGGACCACGAAAAAGTCATGGATCCTTTGGAGAATACGATGACTGAGGCCTGATTGATTATATTTTATATATACAGGGTGTCCAATAAGTGCTGGACCGGCATTAGTTAGTAGTTAATAGTTAGCAAATATATGACAGAGCACAACAATACAAAACAAACAAATGAAATATCTTTAGCTCTGGGGACAGTCTATTTTAGACTCTAATACCGGTGTTCGTAAAATATTTTTTTGAAAATTCTAGTCTACTTTTTTTGTGGAGAAACAGACTTTGTTACACGTATTATAGTCGTAGAAAATAGCATTCTTATTTTTATATACCCATAAACAAACTTCTAACATTTGTATACACGCCAGAAGAGTTGCCTGCACGAACTATCCGGCGACACTCCAGCAATATACCCAAGGACTTTTTTTTGGGATTTAAAAGCAGATGTCGCATGACTTGAATTTCCCCAAAAGGGAATACCATAGAGAAATCTCGAATACATGTAAAAATTTAACATGCACTTTCCAGTCAAAACAGTTTTTAGTTTTTTTATTAGGAAACAATAACTGAAGAAAGTAATTGGCATTGAGTTTCCCCAGTTAGAGTTTCGTCGAGCTCTAGTCCTAAAAATTTAGCGTGCTTTTTTATTTCAACGGCCTCGCCGCCCGACGTTCACAGAGAGATCTTTTTTGTTTTGTGGGCATTTCAATATCAGTACACTTGTTTTTTGGACATTCAAAAAGAGTTCGTTGGTGTTAAGTGCTGAATTAATTCTTTCTTGAAGAGTTTGATAACAGTGTGAGAAGACTAAACTTGAATAGTCGTCAGCAAACTCTGAGAGACCCAAACTAGGTAGGTTAGCAGAAAGTTCATTGATAAAAAGGATAAGTAAAACATTGCCAAGCACTGTACCTTGCGGTACGCCTCTATCTACAGATTGGGCTTGGGATGTTTTAATTTGACACAGGTTGCCCCTCTCCTGCCTTATTTCGACATACTGCCTACGATTTGTTAAGAACGATCTGAACCAGTTCAGAGCTGTTCCACGAATTCCGTATTGTTCCATCCTATTCAAAAGAATTTCGTGGTTCATACAGGCAAACTCCCTACTGAGATCACAAAATATTCCACCTGTTCCATTCAGACAAAATTTATTTTTACTTAAATAATCGGTCAAGCGGTCAAGCATGGCGTATTCAAATATGTTACCAAACCATGATGTGATTGGTATTGGACGATAATTTTCTGCAGAATGCCTGTCGCCCTTTTTGAAGATGAAACTTTCAGGGCTGTAGGAAAAACTCCCTCTGTTAATGATATATTTGTCAGGAAGATCAATGGACTATGGATATAGCCGACACACTTTTTGAATATAACAAAAGGCACACAGGGCCATAGGAATTTTTGTTTTTTATTTTATTTTTTATTAAGTTCAATATTTACTCTTAAGAGAAAGGTCTAATGTACATACTTTTAGGGAAGCTTCCAATTACATCTAGAAATGAATTGTTGTGCATGTTGGACAACTATTTTATTAGGAGGTTCAATAAAAAAGTTGTTCACAAAATTGGCTAATGCTACCGGTTCCTTAATCTCAAAATTCTTTGGCCGTTTATTCCTTCCACTTATCTCAGACACGATAGACCAAGCAGTTTTATTTTGATCATCTGACTCCAAAATTTTTCGCCCATAGTAGCCTTTTTTTTTTTAATTTATTAATTTTTTATGTTTACTTTTCTCATATTTATATTTTTCGACATACATACAGCCTTTTTTGCGCAATATATAATATAAGGAATTTTGAAATACATGCTTAGGTCCGTCCAGCATTGCAGAAATGCTCACTGTTTTTTACATTAAACCTATTATCCGACATAAATAAATATACAGGAATTTACAGAAATTTTCTAACTCAAAAATAAAAATTATAAAAAATCAACCATATTTGATACAAGAGATGGACAGATATTACATATTAAGTTGAACACCAACAGGACAAAGGCCTCGGAGTCATGGACAAATTTCATTTCACCTTTGTGGCATATCTAGGGTCAAAATGAAAAAGTTCTTTCAACCATATAAACATTTATTGATTCTGCGGTGCAATAAATACAATGAACCGAATATTATTTTAGTTATAACTTCCAAAATATAAATGATGCAGTCCCCTGTAGCGGCCGTGTCCACTACATACAAAAAGTGGCACCTGGTAAAGAAAGAAGACTCAAATATAACATGGTGAGAAGAAAAACAAATATTTTGAACTTTAAAAATGCCATTTCTTTGCGCTTTTTGGATTTTCAGCCAGTTATCCTAACCGTCACTGTCTTTTGCTCTATATCAATGTTGTTGCATTTTTTTCCCTAAACTTAAGAACTTGTGAAGTTCGTTATGAAGTTGAAGAACTTCATCAAATTTATATAATTTATGAATTTAGTAAAAAAATGATAGCTTCTCTTATTTTTTTTAATATTTTATTTGGTATTGACTTTGGGTGAAAATATTAAAAGCGTACGCCCCTGGCTTTAACTATTTTCTTTACAAAAAATGACTCGAAAAATCCATCATTGTAAAAATTTAAAGGAATAATTTTTTGTAGGTGCAAGGTGAATTTGAATACAATTTTTTTTGTATTATTTCAATTGTCGCTCAATTTCATGCAGAGTGATCAGAGAAAGTTACATATTTTTTTATGGAATGCCCTATATTTTGGTTACATTTTTAAATATCCCTTTAAAAGGCGAAAAATGGCGGATAGCCATTTAAAAGACAAATATAACTATGTAGAGTCATGTGGGGCAAGTGTGCGCAGGCTTATTATTTATAAAACAGTTGACAGTAGAGTAGGGGAATCAACTGCCTTCAGTAGTCACTACGACGTTGGACAAAAGACTAGAGTCTTGTCTGGCAAAGTTACGTAGTTTTAGTAATATTGGTAAGTTAAAATTTTGGTTATTATTCTTACGATTTTTTCCAATTTAGAATTCAAATACTTTTATATTTATGTAGCGGTAATTAGTATTAATTATGTCCAATTATGCTCGTTTATATATCTAATTTTATCAGCTATACAACAAAACTTGGTAGAATGACTCAAAAATGTGTAATTTTAAACTAAATCTGTAAAGGCGATTAGAGTTAAGTGTACGCATACGGTTGTGGGGTAAGAGTACGCATATTTTAATGCGTACTTTTACCCCGATAGTGAGTTCTTTGTGTATTGATACTCGTTGTTATTTGTTTCAGGTTTTACTTACATATTTCTTAAAAAAAAACTACAATGCCTCGAAATTACAAGCGGAAGGCTCCACACAGGTCCGTTGTTACCCGTGATCAATTTGATGCTGCTAAGCGATTGATTGCCGAAGGTTTAAGTAAAAGAAAAGCAGCTGAACAGGTTGGAATGAAAGAGAGTACTCTCAGGAAGCGACTAAAATCTGATTCAACTGCTCTAAAATTAGGAAGATTTACTTCAACTTTCACAAGTGAGCAAGAAAATGAAATATATAATTATTTAAAAAGATGTGATGATCTCTATTATGGTCTTAATATGACAACTCTAAGAACATTGATCTACGAGTATGCTGAAATAAATCATATTCCTCATCGGTTTAGTCAAAAGTCGAAAATGGCTGGACGTGATTGGGTGTATGGATTTTTAAAAAGGCACCCTGACTTGAATTTACGACAACCCACGTCAACTAGCATAGCTAGATCAAATAAAACTGAAAATTCTAAAAAAAAACAAAGAAGAATACTACTATCAAAGATAAGGCTGTTAAAGTTAAGGCTAGTCAAGAAAATATTAATGATTTTAAGGAAAATGATGATTACTGTGCATTGTGTGGTGAAAAATACGTTGATCCACCTACAGAGGATTGGATTAAATGTAGCTTATATCATAGCTGGTGGCATGAACAGTGCACTCATTATGAAACTGGTGCTTTCATATCTGATATATGTTCTAATAATTAAGATTTTATCATATTCGTTAAAAACGATCTCATTTGAATTTATCTCTATTCAAAACTGTTAACTACTCTAAGCCTTATTCTCGATAAAAATCAAGTTAAACAGTATTTGTCAAAAATTATATATTTAATATATAAATATAAAAAATGGAGTAGAAAATGATAAGTATTGATAAAAAATAATATTTATAACTTTACATATGGTGTAACTATATGTAACAAGTTATGGTATAAATTATTACAAATGCGCACACTTACCCGCAGTGCTGCGCACGTTTACCCCAATATTGGGGTAAGTGTGCGCATTCTGACTAACATTTAATTTATTTTATTTCTTTAATTACAATTAAGTAAATTGAATTTCATGTTACGTAATTGTTAAATCAATAAATCCTTTAAATAAATACTTTTATTTCAATTTATTTTGTACAATTATTACAATTTTATGACCATAGAAAAAAAAAAGCGCACTCTTGCCCCACATGACTCTACGTTTTTATCAATTGCGAAGCAATGTTAATTATTAATTACTGTATCGATTACATTTTATTTAAAATAGTTTCATATTAAATTTTCCACATGTCCGCCATGTTGAATATTTCAATATATTACCTCCGAATGATTTATGGCATTTAACTTTAAAGTTTAATATATAATTCTCTAGAATAAAAAATTCACTGATATCGCGATTTTTTTAAAAATTAGATTCGGATGGAACGTAGATTGTAGCGCGACGACTGTATCGGTACTGTAGACACAGTACACACAATACCGATACAGTCGTCGCGCTACAATCTACGTTCCACTGAAGATGGCTGCCGCAGTAGCAGCTGAAAGCTTTGGTAGCAAAACCAATGGACCACGGCCTAACAGCTCGAAAAATCTCATAGATTAATTACTAGTAATTATGATTTTTATTTAGGGAGACTAGATATGGTAAACAAAAATAGGATTTTGGGATATAATTATTGCTAACTCTAAATTCGTAGGTTAATTTCTTGCAATTTTTGATTTGAAATCAAACACACATATATTGAGATTGCGATATTTGTTCGTGACCGTATATTAAAGAGACCAACTACACTCATTTCGTACTCTTTTTCCGGAAATCTTTTCAAATCCTGCACTCTGAAAGTACTCATTTGTTTAATTTTATACTCATTTGTATTGCTAAAACATTTTTTTAGATTATTTTATTAAATAAATATTTAAAATTATTTTGACAGTTATACTACAGACCTTTTTTTCTAGCAATATTTGTGGACGTAATCCCCAGGCTGATTTTTGATGTGCAGTCTTGACGCATACGTAGTATGTACGGCAAAGTTTTATGGGAATTCCCTTTCTGTTTAATTAATTTGAAAACCAACAATTTCGCACTTATTGCTGAAGTTAACATGATGTCAGGTGCACAAAATAAAATAAAATTTTATTTTATTCATCTAGTAAATGTGAAAGTTGCATGTACGTATTAATATTCATTTTCATCTTACTTAAGTAATATCAGATTATAACGTTTATTTAGAACCAAAATAAAAATTATATTAGTAATATAGTTTTTAGATTATTAATTCAAATATGAGCAATAACAAAATAAGGAAAAATCGCATAAACTAAAAACTAAAAAAACGCGTCAAAAATCGAAACGTATCCTTGGTTGAAGACAGACAGGGAATTTTCAATGCGGCATTTTATAAGGTTGTTCGGAAAGTCATTTCGTTTTTTCCCGTCAGAGGACTTAATTACGTTTTTTCGAAACCAACTTCACACTTAAGCCGCATAACCATTATATGTCTTGAGAGCTGATATTACAAGGCTTGTGTGTGAAAAAGTTCTACTAATTCTACGCAGTGGTTTTTGGTTGGTGCCCTTTTAAATATGGAGAGAAATAAGCAGCATTTTCGTCATATTTTGCTTTTTTACTTTAGAAAAGGTAAAAATGCTGTCCAAGCGAGAAAAAAATTGACGGATGTGTATGGAGAAGGCGTGTTAACAGTACGCCAGTGCCAGAACTGGTTTGCAAAATTTCGATCCGGCAATTTTGATGTCGAAGATGCACCACGGTCTGGAAGGCCGGTCGAAGCTGACAAAGATGCGATAAAGGCATTAGTTGATGCAAATCGGCGAATAACCACACGAGAGATCGGTGAGAGATTAAATTTGTCGAATTCGACTGTTTATGGCCATTTGAAAGGCATGGGCTTAACCTCGAAGCTCGATGTGTGGGTGCCCCATGTCCTTACGGAGCGAAACTTGTGTCGTCGCGTTGACGTGTGTGATTCGCTCCTCAACGTCAAGAAAATGATCCATTTTTGAAGCGGATTGTTACTGGGGACGAAAAATGGGTTGTATACAACAATGTTAAACGCAAGAGGTCATGGAGCGGAAAAGATGAACCGGCTCAAAGCGTGTCAAAAGCCAACATTCACTAAAAAAAGGTGATGCTCTCCGTTTGGTGGGATGTCAAAGGAATCGTTTTTTTTGAGCTTTTGCCGGACAATACAACGATTAATTCAGAAGTCTATTGTCATCAACTGGACAAATTGAATGATTCACTTAAAGAGAAGAGGCCCGAATTAATCAACAGGAAGGGTGTAGTGTTCCACCAGGATAATGCGAGACCTCACACAAGTTTGGTCACTCGCCAAAAACTTTTACAGCTGGAATGGGACGTACTGCAACATCCACCATATTCTCCAGATCTGGCGCCTTCCGACTACTATTTGTTCCGGTCTCTGCAAAATTTTTTGGATGGCAAAACCTTTACCTCAAATGAAGATGTCAAAAACCACCTGAACCAGTTTTTTGCCAGCAAGGACCAAAACTTTTATGAGAGGGGAATTATGTTACTGCCAGAAAGATGGCAAAAGGTGTCGGACCAGAATGGCCAATATATAATTTAATAAAATATTTATTCATTATACGAAAACTGTCTTTCATGTTCCCCAAAAAAAACGAAATGACTTTCCGAACAACCCAATAGAATTGAACATATACCACATGAAAATGTAAAAGTTTTAATAAAAAATTCTTTATGTTTTCCAGCCACTAATGCTACTCTGCCGTCTTAACAGTCAAATTTAATACGCAAAATGAAGGTTATTAGACGAACATCCTCATTTAGCCAAGAAATACACCCCGAAGAAAAATATGTTTTAAGAGAAAATAAAGTTTTTATTGTTTTTTTTTTTTTTTTTTTTTTCATCTATGAACCCGGGTCGATTACAGATCTCGGATACAAGATAGAACGAAAAAATTAGACGGTTCATTTTCCGCCTCGATTTTGTTCGCACAATGAACGTACCTGTCGTTGAAACGATCCAATTTAAGTACAAAGTTACCCTGGTGTTTTTCCCGGGATCATCCTTGGGGCAAGCGAGCCCATGGGATATGACCCCGACGAGGTGCAACCTTTGGGTGTTAGGATCCGTCCACAGCAGCGGGCCCCCGGAATCACCAATGCACGCGCGCAATCCTTGAGCAAACGTACAAATCTGATCGCCGGTGATGGTCTCACTCTGATATTGCGCGCACTGCTGGTTCGGAATTACAGTGATCCTTGCCTCCCTTAGCACGTCCGATAGATTCACAGTACGGTCCACACTACCCCATCCTAGTAGAGTAAAAATATGTAAAACAAGTTACAAAGTCAGTTACTTATTTATACAGGGTACCTAAGACGGTGGTCGTGAACACCAATGAATATCAGGCGGATCATATCGTCAAGTCAAAAAAGTTCCTACGTGACCTATGGAACGTATCCTTAAATCTGTTATTAAGGCTTCTTCTCTATCAAACTCCGTGAAAAAATCTGTCACCCCTCATGACTCTAAAATTCCTCGTCTCTACGGACTCCCAAACATTCACAAACCAAGATTACCCCTCTGACCTATTGTGAGCACTATTGCTTCTCCAACATCTTTTCTAGCAAAATATCTAACTTCCTTATTAAAACCTTTAACGGGGAAAGCTGATAGGTTCGTACTTAATTCCTTTCACTTCATTGAACAATTAAAAAACATTACATTAAATGCACAAAATATTCTAGATTTCTTCTTTACTAAATTTCCTATTCTTGAAACTCTCCACATAATTTGAAATATATTAAAATCCGAGAATCTGGAGCCAAACCAACAGCAATAGATTTACTACTGTCACCAGTAATCGCAACACCTTCCATCTAAGAGCAAAATTATGGAAACGCTACGTCGATGACACTTTTGTTATTTTATCATTGAATTAGAAACTAGTAATAACCTCCCATTCTTAGATATACCTATCAATAGAAAATCAGACCTAACATTGGGTCATTGGGTTTACGGAAAACCTACGCACACAGACCGATACCTTAATGGATTGTCACATCACCATCCGGCCAAAAATCATCGGTTATCAACTCTCTTGTTGACAGCCCGAGTCACTGAACCCGGAATTAAAACACCTTACCTCTGCTCTTCTCTCTAATAATTTCCACATTATAGATATTATGCCTTCCAGAACGGCGCCCACGAGGGCCCTGGAGGCTCTGGTGGGGCTGCCCTCTCTGGCGGATCGGGTGCAGATGGTGGCGGCCAGGACAGCTGTGAGGCTGGCGAGCTGCGGGCTCTGCAGGGAGGGGACCTTCGATCGGGGTCCGTACGACATTTTAGAGGGCTGTCGCGGGGATCGCGGGGTCATGGGCATGCCGAGTGACGTCATGATCCCAGAGATGACCTTCTTTGATAAATTGACCTTTCTCTTTCCATCAAGGGAAGATTGGAGAGAGGGCAGAGTCGGCTCCTGGGATGGACTTGTCTGGTACACGGACGGGTCCAGAATGGGAGATCTGGCCGAAGCTGGAGCGTACTGCGAGACAACGGAATCAAGCTTTTCGGTCCCTCTGGGTCAGTACTGCACTGTGTTTCAGGCGGAAATTTTCGCTTTATTGATGGCGGCCAGAGAGGTGCTTCGGCTCAACTACGGAAGCAGGAGAGTCTTCTTCTGCTCGGATAGTAGGGCTGCACTCATGGCGCTGAAGTCAGTGCGTACGCGCTTCTTGTTGATAAAGGAGTGCAAAGGGGTACTGAGGAGGGTGGCTGAGGAGAGAAAGGTCACGTTGGTCTGGGTCCCGGGTCACACCGGTATCCGGGGCAATGAGGCAGCGGACGCCTTAGCCAGGGAGGGCTCCTCGCATAGGCATATAGGGAGGGCGCTTGGGGATCGCCCCGTGTGTGAGGCGGGGAGCTCTCGAAGCCTGGGCGAGAGACCGGGCCGCGAGGGGCTGGAGAGTTGCTCCGGGAATGAGGCAGGCGAGGCTTATGATGGATGGGCCCGCCCTTCCTCGGACCAGGGAGCTGCTTAGACTGACCAGAAGGGAGTGTAGAGCACTAACAGGGGCCTACACAGGACATTGCAGGCTTAGGAGGCATCTTTGCTTGCTAGGCATTGGAGACGACCCGGAGTGTAGGTGGTGCATGGAAGGGGAGGAGACCCCGTATCATCTGCTCACCGAGTGCCCTGCCTTGACATGGGCAAGATTGGGAGTCTTCAGAACGGCCCTGATCGATCCTGACCTTCTATAGGAGGGGCGGCATTCTGGACGCCCTCTAGAGCGGCCTGGGGGCACAACGGGCCCATCTGGTGGCCTAAGCGCTTGGACGCCCGCGAGGGCGCCCTCCTTTAATACCAATACCAATACCAATATTATGCCTTCCATCACAAAATACACTGCGTCCCAACCTTCCATTAGCAATGAAGCCGATAGCAATCCCACATTTGCCACTGTTTTCCTTGCTTACATTCAAAACAAAACATCTAAAGAAACATAACGTCAAAACCAGATTTACCAATTGTCCAAAAATCTCTCAATATCTTCCATCCGTCAAAGACAAAATTCGATTTAAGATGCTAAGAGTTTACAGCAAAGAGAAAACCCTTATTTCAAAACTTTTGGATTATTTCACTCCTTGTAGTCACTCCTTTATGATCGAGTGACAGAATGTATTGGATGGAACCAGCGATTGTCAAATTTAAAACTTATATTTAATGATTTATGAAACTAAGTGAACATGTTATTACTTTTTTAAACAGGAATTCAGTTAACTGTGGGTAGTAAATTCATAAGGTGCGTGGGTTAAAATGCAGAACATGAACAGACCCCTTAACAAATAGTCTTTCACGACGACTTTATATAGAAGGTGTTTATAGTAGCTCACAAAAAAGGCATTTTGCACGTTTAGCGCAAAAACGTCGCATTTTATAACATTACCCAATAATTTATAGGTTGGTAAATAGGTAAATAGGTTAATAAATATATGTACATTCAAGTTATTGCAAGAAAGGGACAACGCAATCATGAACACTTATAGGACCAAATACAAAACAGAAGTTGGAGTCAAATTTGCCAGACAGGGATAAATATTAAATAAATGTTAAATGAATATATATATATATATATATATATATATATATATATATATATATATATATATATATATATATATATATATATATATATATATATATATATATATATATATATATATATATATATATATATATATATATATATATATATATATATTCTCACGTATTGATTCACGGATGGAAAAATGTGATGACACTATACTCCGGGATATCATCCGTTCGCTCGTTGAACTCCGACTGGAATCCTGCATCCGACTGGAATCCTGCAAATCCTGCATCCGACTGGAATCCTGCAGACGTTTCGCCAAAATCTCACTTGGCATCTTCAATGCTCGCGTGTTCGAAGTGTTTTCGGAGCGCGAGCATTGAAGATGCCAAGTGAGATTTTGGCGAAACGTCTGCAGGATTCCAGTCGGATGCAGGATTTGCAGGATTCCAGTCGGAGTTCAACGAACGAACGGATGATATCCCGGAGTATAGTGTCATCATATATATATATATATATATATATATATATATATATATATATATATATATATATATATATATATATACATATATTTGAAGTCCTAAATAAATATATTTGATGTGTTTTAAAAAAATTAATGGTTACTCCTAGTGAGGTGTATAAAGATGGAGGTTACCTTTATAAAATACAAGAAAATTATGGCGGATATACTATGTTTTGGGAATAATCATTAAAATGCTTATGCTTAAAATTTTTGTTTCATTTCAACCATTTGAACAGTTTTACATCACAAAAGAAAACAACCGGTACAAATATTTTCTGCTACACCAAGGCAAGAACACACATTTTTATGTGATTCTCATGTGGCCATGAGAAATGTCTCACCTTAGTAAGGTAGGGTAGGAATCTAGTCAGCTTATTCCCATCGTCAGGTGTAAACCCCACGTATCACCCTATAAGTGGTCAGTTTTATGAGGAAGTTTAACAAATGTTAAATGAGTGATACACCCCAAAAACTTTTTTGCCATTAATCTATTCTATACAGAGTTCTATTTACAAATCTTGAGTTTCTCTTGAGTCGGTTGTTTATAAATCAAACTTGCTGACGTTTCTCCAATCATCAGGTTAAGCCCTGAAGAAGCCAACAGGATGATTGGCCGAACGTCAGCAAGTTTTATTTCTAAACAACCACACAGGAATAAACCACAAGATTTGTAAATAGTATTACTTTAGCCTTTGGAAGTTTCTCTGAAAAATTCTATACAGACTGGTCCATAGGGTAGGTAAGTAAGTGTTAGATTCCAGATTGAAAAAAAGTCAAAAATACTTTAGTAAGGTGATTGTTTAAAAGATAAAGATATCAATGTTGTCATTCATATAATTTCGATAAATTTGATTTGATAGACGTCAACTTTTACCTTAGCCGGTGGCTGTAATAAATAAATAATAACGATAAAATAATTGGTATGATTCTCACGGGTTAACAAAGAATATTCTTTTGAATGCGGGTTGCAGTACCGTTCCATAAAATTAACCTATGTTAATTCATGTGTCCAGTGCGATGTACGTCCTGTAACTTTAAAACAAGCAACCTTTTCCTAATTCGTATTCGGATTGCACCTGTCTATTATCTACTGTCAAATTACAAAGTCTTCCAATTTCGATATAAAAGTCACATCATTCAAACGAAGCAGCTGTTTGTCTTTTTCCATTTGACATTCCATCAATTGCTGCATCCAGATCCCGCGAGGCTCACCTAGACTTTCCATAACGGGAATTTGGATAATGGAATTTTCGACAATTTGTGGGATAAAAAACTGACATGGTAAAATGACAGTTTAAGAACAGAAAAGATAATAACATCCAGTTTTGGTATCAAGTTCAACGAGATACCTGTTACAGTTCGTATCTGCTAGTTGGCCGCTGAAAAATATTTATTTTAAATATTCCTCGGAAAATCATCGAGTGGTACAAGATTATTGCAATTTTTTTAGATCTAAACTGTAGGGTTTTTTATTCTAGGAACTTACCTAATATCGTAACAATTTCACCAACGAAATCGTAGTTCGAGTAGCTAAATGGTAAGCATACGGGGCCAACAAACAAACTAAACACCATTTGGTTTTGAGTTTGAACGATCGCGATGTCATCGGTCACCGGAGTTAGTTGGTAGTTGGGGAAGGTTTCGTAACCGCTGACCGCATAAATTGCCGAATATGGGCTGTTTCCTAAAAAAAATTATTTGGCGCTTTATCTCGATTAATTAGAGTAAAAAAAAAGTTCTAACACTAGAGCCTCTTTATTATAATAAATTATTATTATAAATAATAATAAGAACAATAATAAAAGACTTTAGACTTTAAAGTCTAAAGTAAAAAGTCTATTATTATTATTATTATTATTATTGTTTAATTTACGCAGATAAGTAAGGGTCAAGATTCCAGTGTCGGTGAAGTGTTGTCACAAAACACTGGAGTTTTGCGTCTAATGTTCTACGGTGATTTTTTGGTTTAACACCTTTCGCATTATGTTACAGGTTGATAGGATAACTGCTTTCTGGAGTTGCGTAGAAAGGGCTTTCTGCAGTCTGACGGCTTCCAGATTCCGTGCCAGCTTCGTTGGAATTTCGCCCGTCGCTACAATTATAATGAGAATAGTCTTGATCGTCCTCGCATCCCAGGCCTGCTTCATGTCCTCAGCTAGCGACATGTATTTGTCAACTTTCTCCTGATGTTTCTTGTCAATGTTAGCGGGGGAAAGTACGGAAATGTCCGCCAGAGTAATATTTCGTTGGTCCTTGTCATATATCATGATATCTGGTCTGTTATGTTGTACCGGTCTATCTGTTTGTATTTGTCTGTCCCAGTAGACCCTGTAATGCATATATCTTCTACTATTGTTTGCGGCACGTACCGACAGTATGGCGTTTTATCTTTTATAAGGCCGAGTTTGTGGAAAATCTCGTTGTGTATTATTTTTGCAACGTTGTTGTGCCTTGTCGTGCGGTGCCATCATTTTGCATCCACTAAGAAGGTGTTCTATGTTTTCGTGACCCTCGCCACACATACGACATCTTGTATCGGTTATTATTTCGTCCTTAACGATGTATTTCAGGTAAAATTTTGTAGGGATGATTTGATCTTGTATTGCACATAAGAATCCTTCGGTCTCTGGAAATATGTTGCTTGATGTTAGCCATTTCATCGTAGCAATTATTTCTCTCTCCATCTGCTTTGAAGGGTGGCGATATTGTAATATTGGTCACATCTGTATTCCCTATTTTTAAGGTCAAGTGGCGATAGGCTTCCATCCATTTTGATAACAGCTCTATGCAGAGCCGAGGACGTCTCTTTACCATAGAAATACTGTCTGAGTAACTCCACCTGGCTCTTGTGGCGAAGGCGTATGTCAGTCATTCCCCTTCCGCCTATCGTTCTAGGCAAGTGGAATCTTTCAATGCAAGCTTTGGGGTGATGTTTGCGGTGTTTTGTGAAACAGACTCTTGTCATGCGATCGAGTTCATCCAGGTCGGTTCGGGTCCACGGAACAACACCAAAGATATACGTAACAACTGGGACAGCATAAGTATTTATAGCTGTGATTGTATTGTGCGCCGAAAGCTTAGTTCTGAGAATTGATGCTTGAATTATTTTACCAGCTGTCGCTTTACTTCGTCCTTTGCAATTGCTCTAGCTTGGGCAAATCCAAGGTACTCATATGTCTCGTCCCCTCCGCATGGCCTCAGAGAAATTCTCAATGCACTTAATCTGCTTTTTAAGGCCTTTTTCTGTTGTTGAAAACAGTTTGATGTCATCCATGTATATTAGATGATTTAGCGTAACGTTGTTTCCTAATCCTATGCTCCTCGGAGCAGTCGAGAGTAGGTTAAGGACGATACAGAACCAGAGAGCGCTCAAGCGCTGGAAGATTCCTCTTTAGACCCTAATGGTTATTTTTTCGTTTTCCACCCTTCCATTGTTGATAGCGAGTTGTGTTTCCCATCCGCTCATCATCACTCCGAGAAAATTAGGTGTAGTCGTGTCAATTTTGTATGTAGATAGGCATTGCAAAAGCCAAGAGTGGGGCACACTATCGAAGGCCTTCTGATAGTCAATGTAAGCAGTGTAGAGGTCTTTTCTGTTCTTTACGGCATCTCGGGTAACCACCTGGTCGATCACAAGCTGCTCCGTGCAGCCTTGAGATAGCTTTCTGCAGCCTTTTTGTTCTTCTGCCAGGGGATCGTACTCGATAAGGTGTTCATATATTTTATTGCAAAGAATACCGCTCAGTATTATTTTACGTTTTTATTTTATATTATATTTATATTATTTTATTTTAAGTATTATTATTAGATGATTAGAAATCTGCTAATTAATCAGACATCCAGGCTTGGCTCATGGCGATTTTGTTTACCCGGATTATGTCTAGTGCTTCTACCGGAAGTCACCGACCGACTAAACCCTTCCCCCTTTTACCCTTTTGTCTTGGAACTGCTGACGGGCATTACTTCAAGAAGAGGGTTCCCGGTTGACTGAAGTTCAGCGAGCTTGTATAAGATTTGGTGGTTCTATTCTTTTGGCAGAGAGTATTTGGTTTATCATTTTGCAGACATGGTCCCAATTTGTCGACGACTCTAAAATTTTTTCAACTAGGTTGTCTGGGCTTATGTTTGCCCGGTGAGTATTTATGTCAGAAAGAAATCTACTTCACCGTGTGATCACATGCGGGGCTCCGCAGGTGACGTCCTTTTGCGCTGCCTCTCATATGCTTAAACGCCTATCTTCCAAGTAGCTTGCTATCATGGTATACAGATAAGGGGCGTTTTTGACGTCTACCGTAATGAGAGCACATAGTTTCCTCATTAACCACGGTGTCTGTTTTACGTCGTCTACCTTTTCTCGGATCCTTCTCAAAGCGCTGATAGTTTATTTCTTCTAGAGAATTCTACATTCAACAGTATCTGCACTCCTCAATATAATCCTTCGCATTTGTGTATATAATTTCAGAAGGGAGGTTGTCAGGTCCGGGGGCTTTGCTCTGCTTTATTTATCAGACTGCAGTTCTTAGTTCTTCGACTGTAAACAGAGGTATGTCCCTAAGTTGAACTGTCTACTTCCTAGATAACTTTCTCCCATGCAGCTTTTTTTGCCTCAGAAATTGCTATTTTGAGTAGGGCTCTATCTGCTTTATAATTATCATGGCATCATCTCTTACTTGGTGCATCGCTACGTTTGTTGGCTCGGACCAGCCTTTTTTTTCTCGCTTCTGCTACTTCTGCTGTCCATCAGCACGCCGGCCTTCTTACGCGGCTGCGTTTCCCTACAAAGGTTTTATCGCACGCATTTGTTGCTAAGTCCGTGAAATGCTGATCTCAGATTATTATTAAGTTGCCTGCCTAGTTTCAGAGATAAATCGATAAGCATTCCTTTATTTATTACCCAGCGCTGGGCTGTATTGGGTTTTTGTAGCTCGGTCTCGTTGGTTCCAGTTCCAGTTCCAGATCTTCATGGACTTTCCAATTTATAACATGTTTGGATATGTTTTGGGTGCTAAATGTTATGTTAATATGTGACTCGCTCTGCTTCCCCTGATGTGTACAATGAGCCAACCATTAGCATTGAAGTCTCCTCCTATGACCGTCTCTTTCATTTGTTTTTTCATATCTTCCCTGAGATTAGGCAGAAAATTCTTAAACGTGGCGTTTGGTGATATGTATCAGCTGTAGATAATAACTTGTGGTGTCCCCACCCGTACGAAACCGACCCCTGCTCCATTTTGTAAGATCTTGATGTGGCCTCCTGGGACATAAATCGCTGTATTCATATTTTGGACGCAAATCCATTTCCCATATTTCAACTTCTTCCGGTTTCGCTCTGCTACCAGGACAATATCCACCCCTTGTGCGTATGCTATCTTATATAGCATATCCACCGCCTTTGAGTTTCTGTCTACGTTTCCTTGCAGAATCTTGATGTCCTCATATTGGCCATGGTAATGTTCCCTATTTCTTCTGTCTGTCATCGTTAGTTGTGTTAGGTGCATTATTTTGTTAGTTTTGTCTTGTCTGCTTCAAAAAGTTGTCATAGCATGTTTGCTCATTTTTACATCCTGCAGCTTTGTGTTCTTCATCTTCATATCTGTAGCACAATTTCGCACAATTTGACCCTTGGCACGTTTTGATAGAATATTCTTGTTGAAGGCATAACACTTCAGGACTGGTATGCGCTCCTTGATATTACAAGAGTTCCATCCGATCCTGATCCTATGCGCTTTTTTTAGGATTTCTGAAACCTTTGGGTTCACTGTTACTGTTGCAGCCTGAGAGCTTCTAGAATATTATCCTCATAGACTTCACCTCTATATCCCCTTCGAATCCATCTGTGAAGGTCTGCAGTGCTAGTTGCCGCGTCTATGCCGTATAATTGAAATATCGTCTTCGGTTCTCTTGCAGTTCAAGCTTCGGCGTTCGTGATTTTTATTCGCCTTGTTGCTTTTCATAATTAATAATACTTCACCATTTTTAGTCTCCTTTACTTGCTTTATTTCAGTATTATCTTTAGCGCTAATATTGCCTTCACTTCCCTCAGCAGCTCAGCATATGTTTTGTTTCTTGCCTTAACAATTAGGACATTTGTGTATTTGTCCTGATTAGTCTTTATAGTCTTAACCGCGCTCTTGTTGATTTCTTGTTTCGGCATATGGAGGCTTATCCCTATCTTTGTGTCGAGCAGCTTTCTGACCATTTCAGTTTCATATCGGTCGGGTATTGGCATCCGTATTTTATTCGTTCCCAATTTTTTTTTTTGTTCATCGTTCACAGGTCCCATGAGACATAGCCTGAATACGGTACATTCACTTGTTGCCATTCTACTGAGGTATGCTATTTCAGTAGTCTCTTTTGGATCGCGAGTTCGGGATATATCTCATTAAAGATCCTACTGATACCCTTAGTTATTTCAGGGACTTCGGAGAATATCGCCAGGGCACCTTCAGAACTTTCTGATAGTGGATTTCCCACTTCGATTTTTACGTTTTTGTATTATATCTCAAACCAGATCATCTAAAGATCTTCTTTAAAGACTCCCTTATGAGTTCTGCTTCTTTCTCCTCTGTCATGTTCACAGTTTGCGTTTCTGTGTTTGCCATATTATGTTCATTACTTGTTTGTGTTGCAACTGACTTTTTCTCTATTTCACTACTATTACTACTTCTGCCTTTTCCCAACCACATCTGTATTTCTTTGCCTTTAAATCTGCCGAATCTTCGATGTCCTTTTTAGTACTTATATTTGTCTGAATGGCACTCATCAACTTTGAATCCTGGGCATCCATATCTTCAATAAGTTTCTTGATTGAGAGGCCTTCATTATTTTCTGTCTCTTCCTGTTTTGGCGAGGTCTCCTCTCTGGGTCTTTTAGCTGGATTTTCCGTGTTCTTCATATGGGCCCGCGTCGAGGATCTTCCTACCAGACTTCTTTTTGGAAAAGGATCCTTCACACCGGACCAGCTGAAGCGTCTCTCTCGTGTATTTAACCCAGTTGCATCAAAACTCCAGTGATATTGACTTAGAGGTTGTGGAATTAAACCCATATATCGGAATTTCGGTCCCCCGATGGAACGTGTTAAACGAATCGTATATCATCTGACGATATCGCATTACCTGAAGGTATGTTGACCTCGCCCACCATCACCGAAAACGCACTGGGGTCTTTACCGTACACGCAATGGGCAGCCGTCAACAGGAAAAAGTCAGAGATTATGCTAGCCCCGCAGAATAAGCGGCGAGTGCCCACATGTATTAGTGCAGCCATCGAAGGGTACACATTGCGCCCCGTTTCTTGTCCACCCAGGATCGTAGCCTAAAAAACGAACGTTTTGCAAAATGTGAACTATAACTCGATTCACCAATGACCAGCGTCGAAAAAAAAATTTCTCTCTGTTCCAGGGTTTTTGGACGATAACTTTCGAATGGTTTAGTGAAGCTTCGGCGCCCATCTTTATTTTTCGATTTTCGACTGTTTTTTGGACATTCCCACGAAACACGATAAGTATCCGAAATTTGAAGCTATCGACTTCAAATTTAGCAGAGAAGTAAAAGTTCTTGCCCACATTTAAACGGTAGGAATTGGGTGCAATCAAATTTCACCTAGTATTTTGAAAATTTTGAAATTTTTTAATGGTCATATTGGCTTCCAGAAAAACATGCTTTCCTCCATAACCATTCACCGGATCGGCAAAATTCTATAACCAGTGGAAGCGGAAGTGCTATAACATTTATTTCAGGCATTTTTCGATTATATACAGGGTTTTCCAATTATACACAAAAATCTAAAAGACCCCGAAGATTTCAAATTTGAAAATGATGGACATGTTGAAACGGCCTTTGCCGACAAATGTTTGTTTCAAGTAGCTCCATAGGAAATAATCAAGTTGTATGAGATCAGGGGATCTATCAGCCCTAAAAAGATATGAATATTTGTGAGTAACCAACATATGTTCAAGATATTCCCTAAACTGTGACATAAAGCACCTTGTTGGTACCAAATGAGTCTTGTAAAGGTTCGTCGTATTCTAATCTGTCTGAAGGAATATTGGTCATGAGATTGTTTTACAAAATAGTTGTTTTTATCAGATACGTTTCATTAGAAATGGGCCATCTTCTAACTCCTCTGGGATGAACGGTGTTTGGATCGGCATAGCTTATAAAAGTGAGATTATACAATTAAAAGCACCACAAAAAAAATAATTTTAGTTTTATGTAACAAATATAAACAATTGAAAATTTCGTTTTCTTGCTTAAAGTGTTCTAGTTTTCAACATTCAAATAGTATATCAAATAAAATGGAAATAATAAAAAAAAACACAAAAGGGATTTTAAACTAAACTCTGATTTTAAAGTACATTAACATTAATAACTTAAAGTGTTCTTTATTTTATGTAGATCAAGAAGGCATTCCCATGGTGACTCTGCAATAGGATGGGTGCAAGTTTGAAATGTTAAAAATGTTTGCACGGTTAAGGCTATAACATAATGTTAACCAAAAACAATATGCAATTACTGAGAATGTGAAAAAGAATATGAGAAAGAAACTTTCTATATGCATTCGGCTTGTGTTGCAAATTTTACGTGTTACGTGTTGCCTCCCTAATGTGACTTCATATAAGAAGTGAAGTTGTTATTGGGCAAAGAGCAAACTCTCCAAAGTCGGAACTACAATCAAGTTTTTGACATTACGGGATTTTGGAGCGGAGAAAGACCTAAGCTCTGCTGACGAAAGCTCACTTCTTTTACATTTTAGTGTTGATGGAGTGCTGGCTTTTATCAGCTGGTATTAAAATTTGCCAACATTAATAACTTGCTTTGCTGCGACAATTGGATTTTTTATGGCTTCCATTATTATTACATAAAATATACTAATGACAAATACAATCTGTCGTAAAGTAAATACAAACATACCTTTACGCGAGCCAAAAATAAACGTAAATAAAAGGCCTTCTAACCTATAATTCTCGGCCTCTAGTCTGAGAATAACACTATAAGCTGCGATATGACGTCACGATTATATCCGTGCGTGCCGTCTGAAAAGAATAGCCACAACTTGAATTACTTATTGCAACTTATATATTGGGTTTTGAGTTTTAATACTTGGTATGTGTTATTTGTATACATAAACAAATGTGTGAAAGGAATAAAAAAAATGTTCAAGTTCCCTATTGTCGGTATTTTATGTCAAATCTATTTTAAAGACGTAGTTTTTTATTTTTTGAAAACCCTCCTGTACAAATGGAAAAACTTAATTTTTTAAAGAAACTTCCACCGGCTACTGTAATACTATTTACAAAACTTCTGGATTCTTTCTGCGTCGATTGTTTTTGAATCGAACTTGCTAACGTGTCTTAAATCATCCTGTAGGCTTCTTTGGAGCTTAACTCAAAAAAAATTTTTTTCAGCTATGTTCTGAAGAAACCCAGAGGATGATTGGCGAAACAGCAAAAGCAAAAACTGTTTTTTTTATTTGTTAATTAAATTATTAAAAGCATTAAAGTTTGATTAACCGTTTGCTTCCAGCCACAGCTGCAGCCCTGTGAGTTTTGTATCTCCAGTTTTTCCGGACTGTCCTTGATAGCGGTCATGGTACAATGGAACTGTCCACCGGGAGAGGTAAGCGTCGAAAACAGTTCTGGAACAAATATATTGCCATGGTTTCGTCATGGTTTTTCCCTAGACGACGAGGAGAAATCTACTTAAGCTGCTGGTTGCGGAAGGTCTAATATTATCCGGAATACATCGTCTGTATTTATGTATTGCCTGATAAATTCTGCCTTTAATCGTTATACCATTATTATAGCCTACCACTGTCAAGCAAATATTGAATATGCCATACCACGAGGAATTATGAGTTTTTTTGAAATTTAGAAGTGGGTTTTTGAAATCTAGATAACTATTTCATTTCTTCTTAAAAGGTAGGAGGTGTTGTTGATTTTATAGTTTTTTTTTTATTTAGATGCTAGAAGTTAGAATAGACAAATTAAAACCAGTATGAAATGATTTTCTCCGAAATGCAACCCCAAGAAAGCCTGACGTAATTGCTTTATTTTTCTACGGTCATTATATAGCCTTCGATTTTATTCAAAGCCAATTACCGATTGTAAGGGTGTTTGCCTGGGAAATAGCGGAAAACGATCCGTTTCCGCAGTAATTATGTGCATCGCCAAGAGTCTGATTACCGGTTGACGATACGGTCAGCTTGTCACCCTGACAATTTGAAGACTACAACAAAAATGGTACTCACTGAAACAAATCTGTATCTTTCAGAATAATTTTTATTGTGGTTAATATTAGTGGTGTTACCAACTTTCGGCAGTGAGACATCGGTACAGGACAAGCTAATTTTGGTACCGATCACACTTTTCGCCACCCATCTACACGACGAACCTCCACTGTAGTTTTGAGGGTATTCTTGGTTGCGGATGTGGTATTCCTTCCCGACTATCATTTCCTGATACACATCGCAATTAGGATCGATTGCTGCGCACATGGGCACCAGGAAATTCCATAGGGCCGCCGAAATGATTGAGAAACTCCCTAAATAATAATACGTTTAGGGTGGGCCGTTTATCTTGGGACACTTTCTTATCTCAGAAACTATAGGGAATGGAGCCAAAAGTCAAAAACCAAAGTTAATGGAGGTATTACAAACCTTCAATTTATTTTTATGTAGTATATACAGGGTGTTTCATTATTCGTGGGCGAGTATCAACTCTTTTATTGTAAATGGAACGCTTGGTATATTACTTCATTTTTGTACTCATTTTGCGTATAATATCTGCCAATTTCTTTATTCGGAAGCATTTATTATTTCACTTGATTAAGTTTTCTTATAGACAAAAGACTCGAATAACGGATTTCATAAGAAATTTCGATACATAATAATACTGGGTAGGCGAAAATAAAATTAAAATTGAAATTTAAAAAAATGCCAAAAAACGTTTTTTTTTAATGGAAACTACCTATTTTTAGTTATATTTTTATATATAAAAACGTGTCTTCCAAATAGTTTATTGTTTTTTGAACAATTTTTGACGTTTTATCGCCAAAAGTTAAATGAAAAAGTTAAACTCCAAAGGTTTAATGGTCGCTCACCCATACTGCCGTTGACATAACACTAACTTTACAATTGTTTTACGACCTTTACTCTTTATTAAATTCCTGCTATCGCGTTTCAATTAATTTTTAAGGATTATTATTTGTCCAAGTTCGATTATACTAAACAATACCTTTCGATTTACATTTAAGTTCATTAGTAAGCTTACGTTAACGTTCTATATATACAGGGTCAGCAGTTGAAGGGTATAAACTAAAAGATGGGGCAGCATTCTGATGAATCTATTGAGGACCAAGTAGGATTGAGCAATTGACCTGTGAATTGAAATTGAAATAGTATTCGGATATTCGTTGAAGAGGGTTATAGGTAAATTGAACATCACAAACGCATAATAATCTATTACAAAATACATTTTACTTTTTACAACACTTCTGGATTCCTCCTGCATCGAACTTGCTGACGTTTCGCCAATCGTCCTGTTGGCTTCTTCACAGCTTGACTGAAACTGGCCCGCATTTTACTCTGTATCTGCTTATTTATTGCATGAGGGGGGCAGAGCTAAATGAGGGGCATAAAAGCCGTTTCGGATGACTGATTCCCATATTGGTGACCTGAGTCGCCGTTAAGATTGTTAGGTTGTATATAGATTTCTACAGACTCTCGGATTTTTCGTTGGTAGAAGAATTGATTACATGCAAGAATTTTAGTTTTAGCGAATAAAATTTTATGTTCGGTTTAGTGATTGTGTTCAGCAACTGCTGATGAGTTTTTTTGTGTTAGTCTTAAGGCTCTTTCATGTTCTATGAGTCTAGTTGATATTTTTCGTCCGATATTGCTTTTATGATTTTGCTATTTTACGAAAAAATTTCCTTCTTTTTGTTATACAATATTTATACTTTCAAGCGGAGGTTTTCATTAGTGTTACAAACATAGGGAAGGAAACGGAATAAAGGTAAAGGATACTGTTTTATTTTTGATACCTAATTAGCTGGATGGGACGTTGATAATTAAAATGGTAAAAATATTAGGCATATACAGCCTTATATAAAATTGCTTTAATTTTTTATGCTAAATATGACCAAAAAGTTTTTGCAGTCTTTTAATTTTATTTTTCGCGTACCCTGTATTAATATATCCTTTGCCTACAACAGAACGTAACTCGAGTTTATTCAATTTAAAATAAGAAAGTTGATACTCGCCCGCGAAAAATGAAACACCCTGTATATACAACATTAAAATAAACTGAAGGTTTATAACACAAAGATTCTGATAGGAAACTGATTCGACACGGCACATTTCTACCGACAATTTGACGCTTTACACGAGTTATGTACAATGATTTCCACGTAATAAGGATAGGACACCGCGAGATCTACGATTTGGCCACGATGGCACTACGAAGAGACCGCGAGATTCACATTGTCAGCTTTTCGGATACGAACCTATAAAGTCTTAGTTTTAAGTAATATGAAGGATTCTTGTTGTAACTGCTGCTGCAGAAACTCTTAATTTTCGATTGTATTTTGAAAATAACGTTTTTTAGAAAGTTATGTAGTCTTCGCTTGAACATAATTGGCGCAGTCAGTAGGATTGTACCCTCGGAATTCGGAAAACGAAGAAGCAGAGACAATTCGTGTGTGTACGTCGAATCGTGCGGAAAAGTGACACTTACCGAACAACAACAAAGGATCAGGGAAGGAAAAATCGTAAGTGCGATTTTTTCCTTTTGCCCCTTTAAGATCCTCTGATAAGGCTTTTAATAGGGACAATTTTAGGCTAGACGTATCGGACGTCAAGTAGTTAGGGAAACAAAAACTTTTTTTTTAATCGATCAATTTTTGATGTTAAATTGTGAATCAGAAACAAGCCGTGAATATTTCAAAGCATTAAGTAGTGACGTAGAATCTGAAATTGGTGAAATTTTCAAAAATCTAACCTTTAGTGAAAGAAAAATATCAGAGAAAATGACAGACCAAGTAAAATGGAATTTATTTAACTCAAAATTGCAAAACATTCAACCTTATGATAGTGAAAATGATAGCAATACCTTCAATAAGTTTATCGACAGATGCGAAAGCTTAATTAATGGTTCCGCTTCCCTTGCAAATTCGGAATTAAATATACATATTTTGAATGTATCCAGGAAAAACTGGTAGGCAGAGCCGCAGTTCTAGTAGGTAATCGCACAGAAATTAGTGACTGGAAAGCATTGAAAGATGCATTGACTCAACGCTTTCCCGATCGCCGAGATCTGAATTGTTTAATCCAAGAATTAGGACTAGGCCCAATAAAAACGAGCACTTGATAAATTTTGGAAATAGACTTCAATTATTAAGGAGCGACATTGCACAGCGTATAAGTAACGAGTCTCCAATATACACCGGAAAAAAATCTTTCATATATTAAACATTATGATCAATCCGAACCCAATAAATCAAATCAGTCGGAGCAAACTCATTCCATTATGTTTGCTCCTGGAAGAGGGAGGAGTTATGTACAATGATTTCCACGTAATAAGGATATGATACCGTGAGATCTACGATGTCAGCATTTGGCCACGATGGTACTACGAAGAGACCGTGAGATTCACATTGTCACCTTTTCGGGTACGAACCTATAAAGTCTTAGTTTTAAGTAATTTGAAGGATTCTTGTTGTAACTACTGCTGTATTTTAAAAATAAACTTTTTTTAAAAGTCATCTCGTCTTCGCTTGAACCTAATTCAGGCGTAGCCCCTAGCGAGTATTACCTGTTTCCTAACCTCAAAAAATATGTAAAAAATTAAGGAGCAGCATAGAAGTTATCGAAGGTGTACTGCGTTGATGGCAATTATGTTGAAAAATAAAGTAAAAAAAAACGCCACCTTCATATATATGTCGCTACGTTGTTTGTGGTGTAGTGTGGCAATTATTTATCACAGATATCCACGAAATCGGCGTATCAAAAATAATAAAAAATGTATTTTCCAACTTCAAAGTTGCTTCAGATAATAATAATCTTAAACATAAGTATTTTTTTTACTTGTTAGGTGTCTATATACGAAAATAGATGATCGGAGAAATAAATATCCAATTTCAAAAATTTCGGGATGTTTTCGACTAATTTTAATAAATTTCCTTCCAATGAAATTTCAACATGTTTTATTCAAATTCATCAAAAAATAAAACAACAAATAACAAACAGTTACAAAAAACCAATAATACTGACTAGAAAAAATGGACGGATAAAGTATATATACGCCTAATTCTCGAAACGTTTGGTTGTCTGATGCGAGAGAAATAATACGATGAAACGTCAGATGTGATTCGCTACAGTAACGGAGTAAAAAGGAACAAAGCGGCGGATGAAAACATTTTGCTAGATTTCTGATTGTCCCGTAAAATCCAAAAGTAAAAAAAAGGCAGTTTTTCGCGGAAAACATTACAACGGTAAAACTTTGCCACTCTTATCACAGCTCTGGACCACAGATAATGCATATATAAAAAACTGATCACTGCAACGTCCTAACAAAATGTTTTGCGCGGATATCAATATGTTGCGGTAAATGAAAGCAAAACAAAAATAATAGTGAGGTTGTATGAAAAATACGATGTATGGCACTATGGAGTTTTATTGAATATTAATGTGTTTGACAATGCTGTGAACTAAACTAGCTAGCAACTGTGGGCTACAAACGGTGATACGGCGTCGAGACGAATGCTTAGTAACACAGTCTGTAGCTGGTGCACGTATTCTTCAGTTGTGAACACAACCGAAATAAATCCTATACCCGTTTCACCCAATTTGGTTTTCAAAACCAATTTCCACCAACCCTAATATATCACTTCAGTTTTAATCTAAAACTAAGTTCCGCACATTTCTTAATCACGTGCTCTAGAAATAAACCGTTTTTACTTCGTCGCGAAACCGGCAAAAACTTCACATAACCGCAAAACTTAAAAGAGCGCGGCGGCGAGGTTATGTCGAGATTTTGATGGCCGCTTTTAACAATTTTGCTGGGCCTTTAGTATCAGAGCTACTTCAAGGGCACTTAAGATGAATGGCGGCGCAGCACTGACTTTAAAATATATAATAAAATGGTTTATATCATGACCAGAGCGAACTGTGTCCTGGATTACGTGAGTTACAACATTTTTCTGGTCACGAAGTTCAAGACACAGATTGCCCAGGCTCGAAATACAACTACAGACTTACAGTAACGCATTATGTAGGTATATAATGTGTGCAACAACAACGTGCCTAACTGCATACAACAAAAAAAAAACAAAAATGTGGTAACCTCCGTTTTGTTGACTGACAATAATTATTATCCTCCACGTATGTACCAAGAAAATATATATAATCGATTATACACAAAACCTACGGGCTACATGTTTAGAACATATCGTAAACTTAACAAAGCGGAGTACAACATGTTGTAGGTCTCTGAAGAACAAACCCTACAATTAATTATAGGCCTTTAATTGATAGGTGGTAAAAATTGAAAGCGAAAAAAATACGACGCGGCTATTGTAAAAAAATAAAATATGTACACCCAAAAAATCCGTAACAATGACGATTTTAAAGCCCCGCACTGATGTCATCAGTGAAAAGCTTACCGTTTAATGTCAATAGAACGAACCACGGACTTATGTATTGCACATGAGTATATAGTACCTAACACAAATTTTAAAATATTGTTATAACAAGTTCCAACGTGTGACTATCACAGCAACAACAATGTATCATGTTTTATGAAAATATGTTCGTGCGCAAAATGAATTTCACGAGGCAGATATCGTACAGGAAGCAACGAAATATATAAAAATATATAGGAAAGTGTCAACCGATCTAGTTTCAACACACGCGTATGTATATGAATATAATAGACATCTAATATTTTTATAATATATTTTGACCGTAGATCTCGTCGATAATTGCACTGTGAATCCTGAACAACCTTTGCGCAGTTTTGAGGAATAATAATTTTATGAATGTACAGCTCGCCAGCTTCGTCGATTAAAAATGAATTACACATCATCAGTGTTATGAGCGAAATATGCGGACGAATGACAACCCGCACTCCATCAATTTTAAGCCAATAACACTGGATTTCGGTGTCGGATAAGAGAAAAATATGAGATGAGTAACCTAACCTCAATGGACGAGTGAATATACAGGGTGTTCCATATAAGTATACATCACAAAATAGGAGATTCTTTGGGCACAAATATTACGATTTAACCTTAGTCCACAAATTAACCGAGATACAGGAAGTCAAAGTTGCAATTTCATTTTTGATTGTTTTCCAAATTTGACAAATCGGAGTTTTTTTACATGAAAAATCGTACGATTAATACTGCCTAACATTTTTCAGCCTTAGTCTATGGAAGTTTTTAATAAAGATATTACTTCTTATAATTTTTTACCCCAAAAAGGTATATCTTTTAAATTTAATTTTTTAAAGCACGTAATATTTAAAATTTTATTTTTTTATGCCTTCAATTTTAAAAAAACTTAGGTAATGCATATAACTGAGCTAATATGGTCTCAACACCGTTTTTAATATTATTTATTCACCAGCATCTAAACGCAGCTATTTTATCGTATCTGTTTGCGACAGAGCGACTTACTTCGCACTACACTACACTACAAAGCGTACTTTGAACCTATTTTGCATATTCACATGGAACTGTTCAATTAGGTGCAACAAAAAATTCAAAAGCGAATTTCTCGAAAACGGAGACTCCAGGCGAAATTTAAAAGGTAAAGGTAAGGTAAAAGTATCAAAGGCACGAAAAATACCACAGGTAGCGCCCTCTACAATTTGCCAGAAAAAATATTCACGAAATTCGATTTCTCTTGTCAAAAAACCTTGATTTTCCAAGTTTTGTGCAAAACGCTTGTATATTTCAGGAATTATTAAAAAAAAAAAAAAAAGAAGAAGAAGAAACTTTCTTCTTCTTCTTATTTGGGGTTGGCGTGCTACTAGGCAATTTGCCAGCACTATAACTTGCAACTTTGATACCCTATATCTTGGTTAATATCAACTTTTTGACAAAGGTAAGTTTCGTTAGATCATTAATATTTTTACCTAAAGAATTTAATATTTAGATAATTACCATTACTTATGGAACACCCTGTATAGGGTGACTGGTTCGCATATATTGGAGCAAATGTTAATAGATGTCATCTGCAGTTGTTTCAACCAAACATACCTCATACGAATTCGGTAGTGCCAACTGCCGAAAAAATGCAAGTTTATGTTATTATTATAAACCCTAACCAACCAATGTATACCGTACAATATAACAACAAATAAAAAACAATAAAAAAAAAAACGAATTTTGTTAACTCACAATTGCAAAGAGTACAACCTTTTGGGATGAGTAAGAAAATGGTGAATATTTCGAAAACTGTGCCCAACGCTTTCAATAAGCTTCACATGTGGCTAGGAATCTTAGTTATCATAATGCTATAAATTATAGATTTAATAGACATTTTTTTAGTTATAGCGAAAACGTTCATTTCTATTGCATGCAGTCTTTGGAAAATTGTAGAACAAATTTTTATTTATTATTTCTGTACAAAGTTGGAAACAATTTAAACGACAGTTAAGACGATATACCAATTAAGATACTGTAATAAAAAGCTTCAATTAGTTATTAATTAGATTTAGCTGGTAAAAAATAATTTAAACTAGTCCACTGACAAAGTATCATTTTTTTGTGAAATTTTTCGCTCGCCCTTTATTGGATAGCTGCGTCTGTTTGTAGGAAAGACTTGTTTATAAATAAATAAGTTTATTTTCCACAGTTCGAAGTTTTTCGTACATTTTCTCAATCTGGGCTGTCGCGCTATTCAATATTTCAAAAAAATTAACCAAAACTAACCATTTTCATCTCCCAAATCTACCTAGGCTGATCAACTCAATTTCAACCAAAATTCTTACATTTAGTTTTTGTTGTTAGTGTAAATCCAGTAGACTTCGTAAAGACCTTCACTTGAAACTAGTGATGAAAATCCGCCAAAAAGACCTAGTAATTTAGTTTCTCTATCTGCAATATTTCACTTTTGCTCGTTAGATTACACACTATGGGATGTTCTCTATCAAAAATTAATGTAATAAAAACAGAAAAGTGAGAACCTACACTTGTAAAAGATAACTTGTACACGTGGTCATTTAAATTTTAATAGGACATCCGAATAAGATGTGCCTAGTTATAACAACTGCAACGACATGTACCCCGGTATATATACTTTTAGGAACCATATTTAATCGGGGATATATATCTAACCACTGCAATCTTTTTATTTTAAATTTGAAAAGTCGGTGAAACGGTGAATATATCTAACAATTTAACCATTCGGAAAAATGGTGGGACTGAGATTTTAAAAAAATTAAAAAATAACGGGGACTGACTATTTTCCCGGGGAATTTTATGGGCGACCAGTTGAAACCCTTACCCAGGTAGCAGGCGCTCTTCAAAGTGACGTCATTTTCGGGCCATAAGTGGCCGCTACTCGTCAAATATGACCTCCGAATTCGTCATAAAATGACTTCATTCCAGAGATGGACTTAAAACTTAATAATTAATATAAATTATTATTAAATTCTTCCAGTTAAAACCACGATTTAGGATAATACGTCTAGAAGGTAGTGCGTCAAAGTAATATATTTCGTTTATTTTTTTTTTTAGAGAAAAATGTTAAATACAAAAGTTATAGACGAGATTAAAAGAAAGAATTTAAATTTATTTTTAAATATACAGAGTGATCCGCAAATATGGGGGAAATCAAATTTATATTTTTTAATGGAACACCCTGTATATTATATATTATGATCTTAATATATACTCCCTTTTATACTCAATAACCCAATGTAGGATTATTAGAGTCTATTCTGACTGTACTCAGATTTCGAATCGTTTATACAGGATGAGTAAAAATAAAAAATATTAGTTTTCATAAAAAAATCAAATGAAACACCCTGTATATTACACTTCCGTTATTCATTTTTTTTAAACGGCTAGTCTTTATTAGTTACCTATAATTCTCCATTTTCTGCAACCGCAAAAGACATTCTATGTAATTTAAAACGGCGGTTTCTGTGTGATTTACTTCCGATTACACGCAGTGCAAAAAGAACAAAAACAATTCAAAAATCGTCATATTTTCAGGCAGTAAAGACCAAAATCTGACGTAAAAAAGATTTCACTCATTCGTCTGAGACATTAGTAGATCAAATTCGCGTCCTGCTGACCCATATATAACGTTGCTTTTTGTCATTAGGTGACGTCATTTTGACGACCTTCTGCTACCTGTGCATCTAATAAATTCAACAGAACAGGATTGTCTCAAACATAACAAATTGTTCAAATATTAGAATTTTCTGAAATTCCACTTCAAAATATCTCCTTTTTCCATTAAAAAAAAAAAATAGCGAAAAAATACGTTAGTTTCAAACTCTATGTGTAGATATGAACATTATTGAACCAGGAATGCGATAATGTTACCATTTGAACTTTTCTATGACATGCACAAAATATACATGAATAAACTTAACCTAAAACACTACCTACGATAGACCTTAACCTATAAGTGCACGAACGTGGTTCTTCTGGACGCAAAAAGTGCCACACACACGCATACACCACCCCATTCCCCGTATTGTTTTGCACACTGACTAGAAAATACACGCTTGACATGCGGTAGCAGGAGAATCACGTTCGGAACGGATGTTAGTTAACGCATGTCACTAAATAAATCGACTGGTTAATGGCTTCATTAAAATTTCACTTAATGGCGAGAGAAACGTCTCAAACTTCAACAACATTAACAACATGCGATAACAATATTAAATATTATCTGAGTTACATTTATGTATATATGTATATATAATTATATTTAATTATTTCCTTTTAACCTTTCCTTTTTAAATAGATTCTATAAGAAATAACAGCATTAGAGTGATTATATTATATCTATATATTTTTTTATGTACAATAATGCATGCCCGCATGAAACTCCCAAAAAAAACCCACGTGCATAGATGCCGTTTTTGATTTTGACCACTTTCGTGCCTATATGTGTTATGGCGTGCCCAAATATTCAACCCTAATATCTCGAGTTGATTTTGAACAACGAAATTTAGGCGATTAAACATAAGTTACACAAAAAATATATCAGTTTTAGGTTAGTTTGTTATAAAAACCGAAAATTTATTTAAAACAACGTTACTAGCAGTACTAGTGAAACACATAGGCACGGGGTGGATGGTTGCCACGCATATTCCACGCGTATAAGAAATACCGACATTTTCCATCTTTGAATAATGTAAAAACCCCCTAATGCGCAACAGCTTGGAATGCCATTACATATCGCAAGTACCCCAATGTTTTGGTTTAGAATTTCTACTGGAAATTTTATTTATATCATTTAGTTCACTTTTCTCCATAATTTATAACAGAGGTGAACGATACCCGAGATATCGTATGGTTTCCGGAACCTATCGCTGCGAAAAGAAATTAAACTTGCTTTGCTCCTACGTTTTCTTTTTCCCCTACTCTTGACGTATTTAAAATACATGCCTATAATTTTTTTGAGGTTGAATCGCAGGTACATCATTGTTTCATAACCGTGAACATTTTAAAAACTCGGACGACATCGAACTTCCAAGTTTTGATTATTCCCAGCTAGATAGAAGTGTTATTTCGTCGGATACATAGAAATAGGGAATTGGGTTACTGACAAACGCAGCAATTATATTTATTTGGGCAGTTTTGTGGGGACCAAACCACCTTGTATGGTCACAGATCGAACTGAAATGTGGTTCGTCAATAGCGAGGACGTTAGTTTTGGTTAGTTGGTTACCACTACCATTGATCGGGTGAAATTAAAAATTGAATACAACTGTCTAAGTCGATTGATGCGTTTTGAAGAAGAAGAACACTGCAAAAGTGAGGTTAAGGCTAAGCGATTTTCAGGGGTTTGTTTTTTGGTTTTAGTGATTGTTCAAAAATTTATGCCAGTGAGCGAATGAAACAATTTACGATTTTTTACCAATATTTTTCATCGCTGCTTGAATTAAAGGTAACTGTCAGAGTAAAAGCAAAAATTCCAGCCTATTCACATATTAGAGGAAAAGGATGAAAGTGAGGTTAAATTAAGAGGCCGTTGCTCGTCCGCTGAACCATAAAGAGAGAAAGTGATTGATTTGCTTGAAACCTTAGCATCAGATTTCGCCTTTATAGTTTATAATTTTTGGCAATTGGCAGTTATTATTAATCTAAAAAATCTCCGCAATCCGACAAAATAACACCTCCCTTTTGTTTGGGTATCGGGCAACCCTTGCTTCGAACCCGCACTGGGTCAAGGAAACGAGGCAAACCTGGCGGAACCAAAGCGTTAAAGCCCAGATTATGACTATGCTACAATGTAAAAATGGCGTCGAGCTGTCGAAGTTCAAATGAGAGGTGAAAGTACACGATGATCATCACAATATTTTTCAATTAGAATTTTTCTATATCTAAAAAACTATTAAAAAAAAAACAAAACAAAATCAGATCGTCAACAAGTAAAAACCGGTCCGGTAGAAGTAACGATATTTTCCATCCGTATTAACGACGCGGACCGTAACTTTTTTTATTTTTGGAGTCAAAAATTTTCCCGAAAACATATTTAGATTGATTACCGAGGCTCTTTCCGAAAACAATAAGACACCGTGATGCTTGTGTACAAGTTAGAGGAGCTTAATTTGAGCATTAAGAGTCGATTAAGAATCTAAGTTGACGTTGTAGGGTACTTTAAGTACCAGTTCAAGTCAACTTTTTTCAAAAAATTCCTAAAAAATATTCATTCCCTCTAAATATTTTGCCAGAAGTGCAATATTACCGTCGTGATAAATAATTAAAACTTGTGGACAATTTCATGTTAAAAACGACATTTCAGCTGTTGGTTATTAGTTATCAGTTATCAGTTACTATAATTTTAAAAATTATTCATCATATTGCATTATTCAAAAAACTAAGGTACTTCAAAAAACTATTTTCTAATTCATTAAAAGAAAAATAAATGGTAGCCTAACCTCCCTTTTGTCGGTTTATATTGTCTTTTTTCAAGCGGGATATATAAAACCATATGGAAAGGAAAATATTCATAAAAGTTAAAAAAAGAATGAAAAGAAATATAATTCCACACTTATGCTATATGAAGAAGACACAAAGCGTACTTGTCCGCCACTTAATTGAATGGCAGTTGTGAAAAGGACAAGGCGGAGTATCATCCAAGATATTTTAACGAAAGACGGCACTTCAAATTCTACTTTACGAACCGTTGAAAACCACACGCAGCAAGCATATTACATAGTAAAAAAAATGTAGATAACGATATAAAATATATGGCGTTGCTTGTCTTGCTGTCCAATGGAGTAGCCTTTTTATACGACTTCAAAATGAAGTATTGATATATAGCATTAATTATAGAGTAAAAATATTTTTGTTTTTTGAAAAAATATTCTGTTGCTGCGTTTTAAACTGTGACCAACCAAATAACAACTTGGTTTTAAATATGCCCACATCATTGTCTGCTACATATTGTTAATACCAGGCACATTAAACTAACTCTTGTAGGAGTTTCACACTGGATAATGACTACCAATCATTTTAGCACATAAAATATACGTTTTGAGATAATTAATTTATGATTAAGAAAGTTTATTTTGAATGAACAATCACTAAATTTTTTCTTCGTGCTTTTTTTTTAAGTACTAAATCAAAATAGTCGCTCCAAGCAAACTACTAGCATATGGAACACCCTGTATATTTTTTACTCCAACGTTCGAAAATCACCAACAGAACAGAGAAAATTGAAAATAACCGAATTATCAGCACATTGCTCTTTTAGACTACAGACGGCTATGAATTTCGCGTGAAGACGTGGATATTTCGAAGAATATGGTGACAATTCTATTCGAGATATAGTCAAAGACTCTAACCTATTCTTTAATCAAAAGATTAAAAAAAAAAAACACACACACACACACACAAATTTTGCCCTTACTAACCAAAACATAAATAATTTTCGGTCTATTTTGTGGACCGACGAATCAAAATTTTCAAATTCTCAGACAGATGGTAGAACAAAGCTAAAGGCAATTTGCACAATGGAAGAACGTGCTTAAAAATGTATTGAAGTAGGAGGTGCTGTTAATTAGGTTTTTAGTTTTTTTTTTTTTTTTCTATTTTCCTATTTCCATGTTTCTTACGCTCAACAACAAAAAAAACGATAATGGAGTTTTGTTTCACCATTATTCATAGCCGTCTAGTCTACTTTCTAGTTACTTTCAATTTTAGGCTAATACAGTAAAACCCCGATTATCCGGGCGGCATTTTAAATTGATCAACCAGGCTTTATAGAAAAGATCTTATGCTTCAATTTTGGGAAGAACGTGACACTGGGTAATTTTGGGAACGTCTGAATTTGAAAGAGGCAATATATGCTGTAGCTCGTGCTTGGAATGGAGTAAAGGAAACCAACATTAAAAAATCATTTTCTAAAATAATGACTTTAATAGAAGATACAGAGGATGAAGACGTTATTGGAGACAATAATCAGTGAAATGAAGGTGAACTATCAATCGAAAACATAGCATCCTTGCAAATAAATGGTTTGGAAGAAATAGACAATAGAGAAATGCAGGACTGGATAGAATGTGATCACAAGGAAGCAAGGTATCAAATCATAAATGACGATATGACGAATTAACAACACTTCTGAAGCAAGTTCTGAAAAAAGTGATGAGAATAATTATTGCGAAATCAAGACAAGTCACCAAGAAGCAAAAAATGCAGTAAACGTTCTTATTCAATATTTTGAAGAACAGCCTGGAATTGATGACGTTCATGTAGTTCAGCTTAGAAAAATGAAAGAAATTATGAAGTGTAGAAGTTACGATTTTTTCAACTGATTTTTGCAAACAATTTATTGTAAACATTGTATACATTTTGTATACACTATATTTTATTTTTTGTTACATGTATGTTGTATCTTGTATTACATTTGTTCTCTTGGTTTGAAATATGTATTTATCTAAATAAATTTAAAAAACTAATAAAAAAAGGTCTTTGGATTATACATGTTTTGGATTATCCGGCGAAGGCTCGGTGCCGGCTGGCCCGGATAATCGAGGTCCTACTGTATTGCATATGATCTTTTTTGTTCTGTTGGTGATTTGCGTACGTCACAGCAAAAAATATACATTTCAAAAGATTATATTTTCTTCATGTTTTTCCAAACCCTACATTAAATGGTTTTTCTAGTTTCTTAATTTAACCAACTTTGTATCTCTACGCATAAAAGAGTTACCAATGATGAACACTAAATTTAGATCAGCCTGTATATACTCGTATAATGGTTAGAGTACCTTCTTTTCGTAAATGTGATTTGCAAAATATTTTTTTCTTCAAGTGTAGATGAATCACAATCTCTTCGTTCCTTTCATTATTTTCTATTGTCATACATATAAGTTGGTGCGAAAATATCCTTTCGTATACCGTTGATTTTGTTGTGTCGTAAACGTTCAATAAATTTAAAAAATAACGGCACGACACATTTGGGGCGGGGTTTTTCGAAGGTTATGAAAATTTTTCCCCTTTAAAAATGAAAAAAGTTACGGCCTGCGGCGCTGGTGCAAATAAACAACGATATAACCGATTTTTTTTTACTGCGTCACTAATTTTCCACGCAAAGGGCAAAAATAAAAAATAAAAATATCAATCTCACTATCGATTTGAAACAACACGATTTAAAAACATCGATAAAATTTTAACAGGGTCCGTCCACGTAAACATAAACAATCTGAAATAAAAATATGTGTGTATATATATGTGTATATATCGACCGTCCAACGAGTGTGATGGTCCGTCTGCCTCACGGATTCTCACTGCATGGCCAGGGTGCCGAGGCCGTTGTTTCTGGCCCTTTTGAGTTCCTCCTCGCTGATGCGCTGCTCGATCAGGTACTGCGCCGTGTTAATGGAATGTTGATTGCCGGTTATCGTAACGATTCGGTTCCTGGTGCCCGGCGCGAATATACCCTTCTTCGAAATTTGTATGTTCGCGCCACTGATTTGCTGGATCTCGACCAACGAACGACCGCCAGGCCCTGCAAACGAAAATGTCTTATGAAATTTCAGGCTTATGTCACTTTTTTTTCTGCTATGACATGCCCCATGCCTTTAACCTTCCTGGATTCCACCTACAGGCTTCGTCAGAGCTTAAGTGAAACTGGGTCCCATTCTACTCTGTATAATGCGACCAAAAATATAGTGCATTTATTGCTTTGACGTTTTAAGAATTTTACAGTGCATTAACCGCAGACGTTGGCAGGACCGTGGTAAAACCCATCCCAACAGATGTTTATTCTGCATTAGTAGTTTCGACAACACCGTGTCTTTATCAGATGTAATATTTACAAACTATATGCTACTATATATACCGAAAAATGACCATAAAACCTTAATTAATGTTGTTGTGAGAATTTAAGTTCAATAAAGGCGAGGTATTTCAATCTAATTGATCATTAAGTAATACATTTGAATGTCTCATTTTGTTAATCTCCATGGCTTCCATAAATTTAATTTTCTACTTTTTGTGGCTGTATGTAAAATATCAAAATTGTCGTCAAAAATGTGTTTTTCTGTGTTTAAGTGTGTAGCATAATTAGAATATAGACTATAGGTTTTTAACGCTCTTTTATGTTCGTTAATGCGTTTCTTGAAGGATCTACCTGTTTGTAGAATATAAATTTTAGGACATGATCCTCATTTCAACCTGTAGACACCTGATTTTTGAGATTTTGGACATTTCGTTTTATTGTTTTTTAACAATTTTCCTATTGTGTTGTTAGTTCTGAAAGCTATTTTTAAACCATATGTCATGGAGATTAAAAAAAAGAGACATTCAAATGTATTGCTTAACGATCAATTAGATTTAAATACCTCTCCTTTATTGAACTTAAAATCTCACAACAACATTAATTAATAAGGTTTTATGGTCATTTTTCGGTATATATAGTAGCAGGTAGTTTGTAAATATTACATTTGATAAAGACACGGTGTTGTCGAAACAATTATCATGTCAAAATATATAATTTCGTGAAAATCTGAACTTACTTATTTTGATAAATGGATTTTCATCAAGTAAAAGCCACCTCAGTTCAATAATAATAATAATAAACTGTCTTTATTGATAATCAAAATATTACAATATAAGTAACAATACAAGAGTGGCGACATTCGCAATTTGCGCTCTTCCATGTAACCACAAGAACAACAGCACCAACACCGTAATTGTCAACAAAATACACACCCATATATACATCGTAAACAGAAGAAATAGACGCACATCATAAACTCATACGCTTTTGCTAGTTACGGGCGGGTCTAATAAACAATATAAATGCTTTTTTGAAGAACTTTATTGTGGGGAGGGACGTTATAGCGTAAGGAATTTCATTAAATAATTTAACTGCGTTATAGTTAAAGGTCTCTGGAAAGTTACCGAAGTGTGTCTAGGAACGCAATGACGGGTGTCTCGATTATGAATATCATTTCCTCTGCAAAGTTTATCAAACAAGTACGACGGGGTCTTATTGGAGTTCAATAAAAAAACAAAAGTAGCTAACTGAACTATATATCGGTCCTCCCGCTTGAGCCAACCCGAATCACAGAGGCATTGTGAAATATGGTCATACTTTCTGAGAGTGTAACTAAAACGAATACAAGCATTCTGAAGTCGTTGGAGTCTCTCCTTATCTCGGTTAAGTATAGCTGGCCAATAGACAATACTGCAATAAGCGATATGGGATAAAACTAACATATCACAGAGTTTAAGTTTGACTTCTTTACTGAGAAAATGTTTATGAATATACAATGTCCTCAACTTATCAAAAGATTTTTGTAACACCAAGCCAACATGCTTAAAAAACGGCAAGTCACGTCTGAAGAAGGAGAGATAATCTCATCATTTAGTGTAATCTTAAAAGAGGCGTTTTGTACAATATATTCCCTTTTATTTCCAAATAATAACATCTGCGTTTTGTTAGTATAAATTTATTTTATTAGCGGCGTTTAAAGTTTCACTAGCAACAAAAGATGAATATAACTGAGCATCATCGGCGTATTGATGAGATTTACAAGATTTAAGAAAAGTAGAGAAGTCAGCTGTATAAACTGAGAACAAAATGGGTCCCAGAATACTCAGAATATGTATCATTCTTAGGAATTTAATTTAAATTGCAATATGTTCGTATATATTACGGAGGTATCTGACTGTGATTCTTCCAGTAAGTACGTATTTATGTACCTGATTCTCGAGCTTTGACTCTGCGAGGCTGTTTTCACTGGATAGTTCAGAGGGTAAGGGTAAGTACTCTATTTATCTTACAGGTAAGTTTGAAAATAATCATTTTTGTCTTGTGTGGTCTGTCGATTAACAACATTCTTCTTCTTGTATTTTTGTGTCTTCTACATTGTTTTAAGACTATAGATTATATTCGCGGTCGATAAGGGTACGTCATAAGAAAACAGATCAAGACAATACAAGACGCGGAAAACAACGCAGAAACGCAGAATTTGAAGACGAAGTAATCGAACCTAATGAACATTTCTTCGGATGCTAAACAAATTGTATCGAATGATAAATTCCTAGAACGGTCCTGGAATGGTTACGGGGAATGGTCTGCTCGACAGGGGGGAATAATAAACAGTAGGCACAGTTGATGACGGGTGTCGGTTTTTCAAGCACTATATTTCTGATCTAAGTATACAACTATCGCAAGGAAATTTTTACTCTAATGGAACTTTTCCGAAAATGTTTTTTTTTCAACAATTAAGCGATTACCCGGTACCGAGACTAAAACAATGGGCCTCTGTGGGTGTCTGAAAAAGTTTTTTCTTTGAAATAAGGTTTTTTTAGAATAATTCAAATATTCATATTTCAAATATCTTGACGGCGTTGTTTCTAATGATAAGGGTCTGGTTTTGGCCCTAGCTAAATAAAAATTAAACGCTGACGGAAGGGGGGGGAGGGCATCTTTTTAAAATTGATTAATAAAAATGTACGCCACTGATTTTAAATCAACTTTTTCGTCTCTTATCCGGCTCTCATATTTTAGTTCGTTTCTGAGATAAAAAAACAAAACGTATTTTATTGTGTGTCCATTTATTATAGACATATTATTCAACATTCCACTAAAAATGACTGGTAAAGTGACCACCTCCGTGCAGGAATCCAATCTTTTCCGCAGGAGTAACGTAAACCTAGGTGTCACCACAAGAAAAAATCCAGAGGGTTTGAATTCGGGGATCATACAGGGCACATCGGCCAATCCTGCGATTTTTATCATATTTTTTCGTTTTTTTCAATAAATTTGAACCACCCAACACCACTGTGCTAATTTCCAAACACCCTGTATATTATTATGTTACCATTGCAGCATATTTCCGAAGGATATACATAAAATGGAAATAAAGTTTACTAAATATGCAAACGGAGTACACGACCAACGAATACTTACGCCCCCTCCTCTGTTGGGCATTGATTTCATTGCGAAATTTCATTACAACAGAATAAAAAAAAATGGAAATTATGTACCGCGCGTTAAATTTTTCTTGATAACATTTTAATTGGCCGTAACTTTTTTGTTTTTAGAGATATCGAAGGTAAACAAAAAAAAACAAAATGTAGGGTTAGTAGCCAAGTTTTTTCCAACTGACGTATAAAACAAAACACTATCAATTTTCTGACATATAAGCCTAAATCATATTTTTTAAATGGAACACCCTGTATATTATATGTGTTTTAATAGAATATCTTATTCCGATTAGATTTAAGTCAACTCGTTTTTGAAAAATCGGCAAAAATAGGAAATTTTTATATAATTTCAAAGAGTGCCCTCACCTGACAAATAAAAATATGTTTATTTTTGGCACTAACCAATTATGCAAGCCACACTTAGATCGACAGCTTGAACTACCGTAAAAGCAGGGATAAAAATTTTCGACGCGACACGTCAATGGCGCATTACCGCCCCAAATGCTTACCCAAGATGGCGCCGACTATGACTTCGGGAATTTCGACGTTCTTGCTCTCCTTATGACCGTTCAACTCGGCAGGCGTCGGACTTTTACTGAGGACAGCCACCTGCGAATTGGTGCCCAATCCGAAACTGTTGTTGTTTAGGGAAATCGGAGCTGTGGCGGCCGATGCCTGATGCCTAAACGGATCGAACGCCGATTCGTACCGTTCCAGGCTGGTCCTTGGCGTGGGCGAGTTCGCACCTGGAATTTCAACGACGACGCGAACTAATGACAATCACATTCCAAGCGAACCCCCCAAAAAGTCGTAAAAGTTACGAGGGAAAACATCAAAACTTTATGTCCGAAGTTGAGACGCATTGGAGCTGAAAATGATTTAGACTGTAGGAACGACTAGTCACGAGAATTGACTTTATATTCCGAGTTTCTCATTTTCTAGTTTCAAATAGAAATTACTTGTTACTTACTAAATCGATGAGATGAAATCGAAGTTTTCGAAATTATACGCGCTTGGCAAAGAAACTCATATCTCGTCCTAGGGGACCCCCATTGATACACAAATGATCAGGGTCGAAAAAAATGTCTGTCTGTCCGTTCTCCGTTTCTCTGTAGATGCGACATTAATTGGCCATAACTTTCGAACGGTTTAAGCTATGACGTTCAAATTTGGGGAGAAAGGCGGCTATCGGACATCGGCATCCGTCTTTTTTTTTTGATTTTCGACTCTCTTTTGGACATTGCTTTGAAACACGATTAGTGCCCGAAATATAAAGGGACTTAAAATTTGACAAACAATTAGAGTTTGGTTAGTTTTGCAGTTAGGTTGGTTATTTGGATTTTTTTTGTCTGTTTGTCCATTCTCAATTCTCTGATCCCGGACACTTTCGACAATAACTTCCGAACGGCTTCAGCTAACAGTCCACGGGATGCATAAGATTTGTAAAAATGGCGGCGGTCCAACCTCGGCGGAAATCGTTTTTTTTTAGATTTTCGATTATTTCTTGGACATTTATCGACTTCAAATTTGACATACATATGGAGCTTGGCTCCGTTACGGAACTTTGAAATTGGGATGGCTGGGAAGTATTTTAAAAAAATAAAAAAATCGCGCGAAAAAGTGTTTAAACGTGAGGATCCGTGAGATCAAATTCTGTAAACTTTTATTCCTCATAATTTTCAGATATACTGCGCGCGATCGATTATCGAGAAGTATTTTTTGAACATTTTTCACATTTTTTTTTGGGTTATTTTGTCTTCCAGAAAAAAATTATTGCCTTGGAAACTACTTACCCGATCGGCAAAATTATTGAACCAAAGGACGCGGGAGATCATTTTCCGATTGTATACAGGATTTTTCAATTATAGATAAAAATCTAGAAAACTCTGAAAATTGTTCTTTTCCCCAGTAAATTACTAGCCGTAAATCCAAATTCATAAAAAATATCGCTAATTGGTTTATATTGTATTGTATTAGTATTGTAGGGCACGCACATCTAGAGCTACAGATTTTGTATTTACGGTTTTTGGTTTTGTCTGTCACATACGCTGCTGGAGATATTTGAAAAAATCTGAATCTGAAAATCGCACTCACTATTACGGTGTACTTTATAGTTCCAGAAAAGAATTATTTTCTCGAAAACCAACCCAGAAACGTGGGAGATTTAGAGCTCTAACCTCTACCTCGAATATTTTTAAAATTATACACAGGGTGTGTTGTTTTTGGGCAAAAAATATAAAAAAGACAGAAAATTTTGATTTTTGCGAGTAAATTATTGGCTGTAAATGAAAAACGTAAAAAGATAAGATAATTTGGTTTGAGCAATATCGTAAATTGTGCCGAGAGCTGCAATTTTCTGATTTAGAGATCTTGTGAATTATACAGGGTGCGCGAGATATTTCAATAAAAATATTATTGTGAATCACTGTTACTGGTTCAAATTTTTTTATTTACCAAACTTGGACATTATTTTGATTTTCGGAGGCCATTAAAGGCACTTCGTACAGGGTGTGCGCATAGTAAAATACCATTCATTTTGCGAAATTTCCATAGTGGACTGCGTAGCGCGGAGCAGTCGCCTCGGGTAGCGACGAGATTGCGTCGATCGAAATCGAAAATCGATTAAATCGAATTTTTCGAAAGTATCTAGGCTCATATAAAAATTTTATATCTCAGTAACGATAGGTCCTATGGGATCGCCGTTGATACAGAAATGATCACGTCGAAAAAAAAATTTTTTTTGCCTGTTTGTCCGTTCTCCGTTCTCGTCTTTTCGTTTTTCCTGAATAACTTTCGAACCGTTGCAGCAACAAAATTAAAACTTGCCTCCTTTTTAACCCTCCATGAGGCACATAAGCTTATGAGAAATGGCCCTGATTTGACGCCGATATCCATCTTTTTTACGCGATTTTCGACTGTTTTTTGGACATTGCTATGAAACACGATAAGTGGTCGAAATTTGTATCGCATCGTATTCAGTTTTGTGCAACGTATAGCGCAAACATATTAATTTGCATTGGTAGCTTAACAACTATCAGTTTAACTCGAAGTCTCGACCATATTAGGAACACTTACCTAGGCATTCGCCCAAACTAACTTGTCCGATGGCACCAAACACTCCGGTATTGGCAGTAGCTGCGCTCGCTTGCTCCATGACGCTGAGGTAACTGGAGACGGGAAGAGCTCCGGCATGGGCGTTTCCTAAACCAAGACCCACCCCAAGGATACCGTACTTCGCCAAGACGGCCAACGCGGCGCAGATCTCGGCTATATGAGGATCGGTCAGGCCAGAGGTCCTCAGATGGAGCTGCGAAAACACAACATCGCGATTTGTTCAAGATCGTATAGTTAAAAGATCCAATGCCAAAATCAGACAAACTCATTCAACGAGAGCCGAAAACGTTTGTCCAGGTGTAATGTTTGGTAATTGACTTTCCAAATAGCAATACCAAATGCTTTTACAGCGAAGTTTATTCTTCAAAATAAATGTTGATATAACGTACATAATGCAACTGTTCAGCAATGAAGCAATATTTATTGGATTGAGCATCTGCTTTATTCCAGCACCAACACCAGACAGGCCATAAAATTGATGAGATAGAAAAGTCCGGATATCTAAATACGAGAGACGACGCTCTGCATTTATCCAATATGCGTAAAACGACAATCAATCAATCAATTGAAGATGCCAAGTGAGATCTTGGCGAAACGTCTGCAGGATTGCAGACGGATGCAGGATTCCAGTCGGAGTTCAACAAGCAAACGGATGATATATCTTCCATCCATGAATCCGATATTCGGATGCCACCTGACTCTCCCATATTACTTACTCAAAGAGTTCATAGATGTGATACTTACTGTCTAAAACCATATTTCAGTTGGACTTCAAATTGACCCACGGAATTTTTTCCTGAATAACTTAGTGCAAGCACTTACCGTTTAGTGGAGTGATAATCGAAGTAAAGTATACATTTTGAATATTTTTGTGACTCTCTGCAGGCTCAGTTGGCATCTATAGCCGTTACTTGGTTTGGCAAGCTTGTCTGATGCCAAATCGCTCGGCGAAGTGATCTTTTTGAACACGTTTTTTTGGAATAAAGAGTTTTTCTGACTAGTTCTTCGGATAGTTTTACTGTTTTTACCTGCAGCACGAGTATACAGGGCGTTTTTACACAAAATACCAAAAACTGGAAGGGGTGAACCGAGTGACTTAAGAACGTTACGAACGGTGTTACATACTATACTTTTTCTACGACCCTTAGTTTTTGGGTACATTTTTGCAAAATGGCACGAAAACATTTACTGATATGACTGATCAGAATTGATAAACGTCAAAATTCAAGCCGTGCAGTAATATATCCTAAAACGTCCGATTGCTCCCAAATCGGTGCAGTAATATTCCGTAATATAAATTGAAACATTATTTTTCCACCATGTTTGTAGCATATTTCCCGAGAAACTACACTTTATTTTAAACCCTGTATTTCGTGCTGTCTAAAGTGCATATTAGTAAATAACTTTTTATTTAGTTGCTCCATTTTAAATTTTTTGCTGTCCAGAACTTGATCGGTGTAGTAAGGGGATCCCATATAAATTAAAACATTGTCGAATAATCTCATTAAATATGGTTGTTTGCGAGCACTTATGTGGTAAGCGACTTTTTAAGGATGATATCCTGGAATATTTTGTCAACATATTTTTCCATCGTTGGTTTTCTTTGGACCTTTTTAAAGTATATATTTTTTACAGGTGTGGTTCTTGGGATTTGCTGCGTTATTTATTAATAGGCTTTATTTCGAATTGACAAATTTATATATATATATATATATATATATATATATATATATATATATATATATATATATATATATATATATATATATATATATATATATATATATTGTATTCTATGCACTAGCGATGCGATTCAATACCTTGATGTGATCCAGAAGTTGCGTGGTAACACCCCCGATACCTTGTCCGGGAGTGCCCAGATTGAGGCTGAGGGACAGGCCCGGCGGGCCAGCACCATTAAGCACCAGTCCCTGCTGAACAGCGGCCGCCGCGCTCAACGTGCTGTTCAGGCTCGCGGTCGACGCGCTGAACGCGCCACCTGGTGTCGTTTGCTGCGCAAACGGCGAACCTGTAGGATTGTAGTTCGCGACGGGACCGCTGACGTCGGCGTACGATACGTTCAAACACGTTCCGCTCTGCGGATCTTCTACCACTTTGCTCAAGATCATAAGGCAAGCCTGCTTATTTTGATCCTTTTCGCCTGTAACCAATTTATAGATGGTAAGCATGTCATAAATGCAAAACAATTGAAACAATTGACATTTATTTCTAAAATCTAATGCAAATGTGCCATAGAACATAAAAGTTCTCCTATACAACGTCGGACTGAAATTCTGGAATTCCCTAGGTTTTCAAATATGTACTGGGTTATTCATTATATTTTGACACCCACCTACAAGGTTGATTTTGAAAGATAGAAAAAAATATGTAAATACAAAAGTTTGAAGATTTTTGCTCCTTCACTAAATACGTTAAACAATTTTAGGATCGAAATAGTATCACATGAAAAACCAGGACAATAGAAAGAAATTTTGATGAAGACCTTAATATATTACTTTACTTTAAAGGTAGATTATTATACTATTACGACACTTGACATCATGAATTTGAGTTCTAATTAATTTTTATATTTCACATTTTTTAGAAAATCCTAAATATTTTATACCTGACGTTAAAAAATTATCCAAAAAGTCCTATAGTAAAATTCAACGAACCCGTGTAAGTTCCTTCCAGAGCAAAATTTAAACAGAATTTAAATAGAAGATCTCAAGAAGATGGCAATTTTCTGAACGAAGTAATATCTACGTATGATGCTTCGTTCACAACAGCAGGTGAATTTAATAGGAAGAATAAACATTTTTGGTCCACCAATAATCCACACAAAATACAGGCAGTGAAAATCCAAGGACGGACGTCAACTAATGATGTCGTGGTATATTGAACAATATTATATGCGAAGGATTCTTGAATGGCCAACGATATTTAAATGTCCTTGCAACACAAATAGAACAATTGTTAGAAAATGTGCCAGTTAGGAAGTATTTGTTATTATTTATTATTAAATATGGATAGGTACGAAAGGAACTATCAAATAAAAAATAAAATTTATTATAACAGGCCTGAAAGTTTACAAGTGATAAGAGTAAGACTTAATATCGTTTCACAAGATCTAAATAGAGAAAACCCTGATTTTATCACCTCGTGTTTTAATAGGAACTTGAAAGGAAATATTGTTCGATGTATTGAAAATAATGGAGGTTATGTGAAAAATGTTTAGCATTAATTATTGATATTTTTATTGTTTAAATAATATAAACTAAATGACTAAATGAACTGTCATTCCACTAAAAAAGAAGACGTAGCAGTCATTTTGACAGCTTGCGATGGTCGTTTGTTTTTTCTGACATTTGCATAAGATAATGGAGCAAAAATCTTCAAACTTTTGTAACATTAACCTTGTAGGTTGATGTCGAAATATAATCAATACCCTGTACAGGGGGGTCCATTTAAGATGCTAGATGCTAATAAATTAACAGATGTTTTGAACAACCATGGCCTTTAACAAATGATTGATAAGCCTACCATAATAGACTTTCTAATTACGAACATAAAAGATAATATGAGATACGACAAACACCACTCAATAATATCTGCCAATTTTGATTTCGAATACAAAGAAGTTTAAAGGAATTGTAAATACTATAACACCAAACAAAACACAAGAAAAATGCATTGAACACGTAAAAGTTGACTTCGAAATGTATTACAACCAAAATATTAAAAGTAAGTTTTGAAACTATTGACGGCAAATTCCTGAACGCAATTAATTGCAGTTCTGGAAACCGGTGGTTCGTCCCATTGTAAGTGAAGTGGAACAATAAAGGGTGAGGAATTCAGACCAATCAACAACCATATGAAAAACTACTCGAGTTATGTGTAAATAAACGAATATTTGGTTTTCGTATTTAGCTTTTTTTGCTGTGCCGTATTTATCGTTGATAAGGTATAGGACCGTCCTGTATAAGGAAAAAAAGCAACCAGAAAATTGATAATGCTCCAAGCCACCCAACAGCAACAAATAACAGAAGTTTGCAAAAACTACAACATAAACCTTTCTTATAAAGAGATACCAGAAAGATCTTTAAAAGGAGTATGAAGAACATCTGATCAGATGTAAGCATGATCGAAGACATCGGACATATGGATGAAATGGTGAAAAAGAACTTTTGATGGCAAAATAAATAAGAACTAAAAGTTCAGATTTTCACGAAATTATATATTATGACATGACAATTGTTTCGACAACACCGTGTCTTTATCAAATGTAATATTTACAAACTACCTGTTACTATATATACCGAAAAATGACAATTAAACCTTAATTAATGTTAAGTTCAATAAGGGAGAGGTATTTAAATCTAATTGATCGTTAAGCAATACATTTGAATGTCTCATTTTGTTAATCTCCATGGCTTCTAATAAATTTAATTTTCTACCTTTTGTGGCTGTGTGTAATATATCAAAATTGTCGTCAAAAATGTGTTTTTCTGTGTTTATCTAGATTCTAATTATGCAACACAAACATGTATTAAAAATGCCTGAATATGTATTGAACAAAATGGCGACGCCTTTCGACATTTAATCCAGTGTTTTAAGACAATGTTTCACTTAATAAAAAATAGTTTCTACTATATCGGGACCATTACATATTTAATATTAACATTACTCAATTTTCTTTGAAATTGATATTTTACGGCAAAATACAACGTCCAGAAAATATATGAAATTGGCAATGTTAATGGCCAATTTCATATATCTTTGCTACGTGGCTTGGAAAATTCATATATGATGTAAGTTTTAGACAAAAAAAAATTGTAAAAAAACTTTTGCCTTTGTCGTTTTAGCTTCAATTTTATGCTAATTTCTCTTTCTACTTCACCAAATAGCAAACGATAAAATTTTAATGTAAATGGTATTGACAGAATTGATGTGTTAAGCGCTAAGTAAGCATAGTCAGAATTAAATGTATATGCTTATAAGGTAAGTAACGGAAAAGTTGTAAGACTGCGTTTTGGATTTAACACAAGAAATTGAAATATGGTTCTTACAAATGAAGCGTTTAATATATCTGTTTTATATATATAAAAGTATTATTTCCTAAAATATAAATATAAAATAAAATAATATAAATAATTAAATTGTTAATATGCATAATATATATATATATATATATATATATATATATATATATATATATATATATATATATATATATATATATATATATATATATATATATATATATTTTATTCAAACTTTTTTGATAACACTCATGATTTTGAGAAATTGACGTGCAAATTACAGTTTCGTCATTTCAATACAGCTGCAGCGCACAAATATTTGAAATAATTGCGATTATCACTATTTGCTCACTTTACTACGATAACCTCAAATCTGCTATAAATAGCTTTTAATCAAATTTTATCTAAGCAAATGTTTATTTTGGAGCCAATCATATACGCGCAGTCTCTTTATAATATGTAAACGAAGGATTATAATAATGTAACACGTCATGTGCTATACGTATTAGTACCATAGCTAAATACTGACAAACAAGGCTTTATGGAGGACTTTTTTTACCGTTATCCAAACTGATTAGTGCGATAATGCTGGCCGATTTTTTTTCTGCACGAGTTAGGTTAGCTTCCAAATTTCAAATAATCTAATCCTTTTAGTGGGGACAACAATCTCTTATAAAAATATTCAAAAACTAAAATTGATCGTCACCGTTAATATACAAAATCGGGCATAATCGATTCTGTTTTGGCGAAGGCGAAGGAAATGAAGAAGATGTGGAAGTTTTTTTTTTCAAAAAACTGCCATATTCGGTTTCAGTTACGCCAACAGGAAGTTCGATTCATAGACAACTGACTCAGGAGGTTTGTAAATAGTAAGATATGAAAATGCAGAAAGGTTAGCCAAAAAACAAATAAAATTAGGATAGCATTTACTTTGCATCATAGAACAAAACAATACCACTGATACTGTGCCCGTAGCGGAAAGGCTTACCATTTTTGAACAAATTAACAAATTGAGTTACGACGTATACCTTTCAGTCTTAATCTGTACCAGCTGGGAAAGTTGAAAGAAGACATAAGAACGGAAAACCGTCAATTTCAAACCAAAGTGTTCATTTTATTTGTTATTGTTTTGTTACATACAATGTTTTTAAGTGTGTGTCCGTTTTAGATAGTGCCATATGGGGGAAAACTGGAGTGGAGTTATTGTAAAACTAAATAAAATGAATAAAAGCATTATTCTCCAAGAATTTAAGCTATAACAAAACACTAACTGTTCTGAGATTTCAGTTTATTGGATATTTGATTTTTTTTTATATAGAACGAGTTATTTCGATTAAAATTATATAAAACGCTTTATATTTATATTCCATTTGGAAATTATTATATAATTCGGCAATTAGAGTCATCCTCATATTCGACATGTTGCTAAACGATATCGAAAATTGTCGCCTGACGAGCAAAAAATTTTTATTCAAACAGACGTTTGCAAGACTTGCAAAAAATTTGGAAGAAACCGGTAACCTGGCAATTATCGAATTGAAGAAATATAATTACACTGCATTTAAATTTCGGAAAAACCTATAAACTCAGTGAACAATACTTTAAGAAAAAGACAAAAGGCAAAATACGCGATGGTCTATGAATAATCCTACGCAAATATATGAAATAAAAACCCAAGTGTAGCCGTCAGACAATATTTCTTGTAACGTAAAAGACTGGAGATCATTCCAGGGTGTCTAAAGTAATATATATATATATATATATATATATATATATATATATATATATATATATATATATATATATATATATATATATATATATATATATATATATATATATATATATATATATATATATATATATATATATATATATATAGTATTTGTTTTAACGAAAAATGTTAAATCCAAAGATGAGACGAAAAGAAACAAATTAAATACAACAAATAAATATAATATTATACTCCATCACTTAATGTAAGTGTACTGTGGTTCATACCGAGTGTTATCGGATTTATGGCCATTTTTTCGTCAAAAATGACCTGTGTTGAGCACTTTATATTTTTGACACCCTTTCCGACAACTGTAATCTTATTATGCCAAGAATTTCTTAAGGT